GCCTTAACAATTTAGCAAGACCCAATTTCAAAATGTGTGAAAAGGTCTGGGGATTTATCTCAGCGCTCCTTGATTCAATCTGGAAGGACAGAAGGGAGGGAGGGAGGAAGAGGGGGGAGAGAAAGAAGGAAAATGTCCACATAGACCCACTATCCCTCCTAGGAATGCAACCATCACCACACCAAGACTTGTGTACTCCTGTGTTCAGTACAGCCCTGCTCACAACAGCCAAGTACAGAAACAACCTGGGGTGTCCACTAGTGGATGATGGATGGAGAAAATGTGCCGCATGTACCCACACCCACACCCACACCCACACACACACCCCTCAGGAGCAGGGAATGATCACACTGCACTCAATCCCTCCACAGATGCTCCTCCATGTCCAGAGCAGGAGCTCACACTCCAGGGGGAGCGAGTCGTGTGCCTGGGGGGACCCAGAGCTTTCAGTGAGGACTAGACACTGCAGGACGCCGGGGCTGTGCGCTCCAGGTACCACTGAACTGAGGGGTGGGAGGGAAAGGGGGAGCACAGGAGGGAGGCTGAAAGAAGTCCAGGCAGGGGACCAGCATGTGCAAGGGCAGGGACAGACTAAAGAGTGGCTGGGAAATGGCATGGAGTCGGGTTAGCTGCACAGAGTAAGGGGCGAGACAGGAGCCGGAAGAGGAGAGCAAGGCGGAGAGGGAGAGGGGGAGAGCAGAGCCAGGCGCCAGGCGGCCACAGCCGGATCCACCGCTGGGAGGCCTAGGTGACAGGTTTTAACCAGAGTGGACACGACGACACATCTGGGTGTTAGCAAGAGCCCTCTGGGGGGGCTGGGGTCATGGCTCAGGGCTAGAGCACTCGCCTCGCACACGTGAGGCACCGGGTTCGATCCCCAGCACCACATAAAAGTAAATAAAATAAAAGTATGGTGTCCATCTATAACTGGTGAGGTCTGCACAGCAGTGAAAGGGACACAGATGTGGGTGACCCCAGGAAGGGCAGAAGACAGGGGACCCGAGTTTCACCTTCAACAGACACTGGGCACACCGGGCATCATGGAGACAGTAAGGCCCCAGCACTCCACGCTTCCTGGACAGCTTCAGGGCCACTACTGTAACCAGGCCTGTCAAACAGGTGTCCTCCCAGACTGTGACAAAAGGGCACACAGCTGGGCATGAAAGCGGGGCACCCCACTCCCCTTCCTGACCAAGGGCTTCCCTTCCCCCCTCCCAGAATCAGGTTCCAAGCCAGGAAGTCCTCCTAGAGCCTTTTAAATCACTAACGGCACACTCAGGGGTAGGAGCGACAGGCAGAAGGTGTGGGGTGACTCTTCAGCTCTGCACACTCAGGGGTAGGAGCGACAGGCAGAAGGTGTGGGGTGACTCTTCAGCTCTGCACACTCAGGGGTAGGAGCGACAGGCAGAAGGTATGGGTGACTCCAGCTCTGGACACTGTGCAGTGGGAACAGGAGGACGACAGGGCGGGCGCTGGGGGAGGCTTTCTCATCAGCAAAGGGAAGGGACTCACAGGCTGCCCCTGCCTTCCCACGGGGACTCCTGCAATCCAAGCAGCCCGGTTAGAGGCGGCCAGGTTACCCCTGAAAGGCTCTGCGGCAGGTAGGGAATCCTGGCCCCAGAGAGTCTGTGTACTAATCTCTGGGACCTGTGAACCTGTTAGGGTTCACGGGCAGGGGGCATTCAGGTGGCCAATCAGCTGACCTTACAACAGGGATGTTCTGCACAGATCCCACGTAACAGAGTTCCTCAATGTGCAGAGGCAGAAGAGTCAGACAAGGAGAACAGAAGCAAGGCTGAAGTGATGTGGCCTGAGGACTCCGCCATGGCCGCTGGCTCTGAAGGTGAAGGGAGGCCCCAGCCAAAGACCTGGTCAGCAACTCGAAACCCCACACCTGCGGAGTGGCTGGTCTACGCAGCAGGCTGTGGGGCTTGGCGGACGCAGCTCCAACACCAGCATGAAGGCCCCGTCACTTTTTATCTGTAAGATAGGGATCAAAACACCTAGATCCCAGATCACGAGGGCAAAATAAGATGAGGCTCCCAGAGCCCCGCCATACAGTGAGAGCACCCTAAACGGCTGTCACCCCGATGATTTTTTGTGGCTTTCAGCGGCATCTCCCTGACCCCACGCAGGGCTAAGCAAGTACTCTACGCTTATTCCCTACTTTATAAACGAGAAACCCGAAGCTCAAGGTCATCAAATGATTTGCTCAAATTTATAGAAGATACAGAGGCGACCCCAAAGCCTTTGATCTCTTCCTCCAAATGAGGAGACTCAAAGTCATTCTAAAGCTGTATTTTTCCTTTACTGCAAACGAAATATAAATTAAAACATTACATTTCAGAATAAAACAGAAATGCCTTTCCTCTAAATTGTTCCCAGCTGTGGGATAAAATGGCTGTAGCTGCAAATAAATCTAAATAAAACTAAAAGTGGTTAAGATAATTAAAAGACTTAGATAATGGATGAATAAAACCCAAGGGGTTTATGGGCAGAATGTGGGCTGTAAGGTGTTAGTCCTGATTTCCTGGCAATCCCTGGAAAAGTCTATGGCTTCCTGAACAGGGCGGCCACCAAGACCATCCAAACAAAGGCCCAACAGTAATCTGTAAAATGCTTTTGCTGGCCTGCTGTGGCAAAGCAGCTAACGCACATGTTGATTTAATCCTCATGGAGTAGCACGTCCCCATTTTACACACGAAGTCCTAGAGGCTCAAAGACAATAACCTGGTCACTTCTCCAAGACCACTTAGTATCTATGTTCACAAATGGAGAAGAAGCCTGTTTTGTTTTGAATATTATTTTTACTTGCAGATGGACACAATAACTTTATTTTATTTATTTTTTTATGTGGTGCTGAGGATCCAACCCAGGGCCTCACACATGCTAGGCAAGTGCTCTCCCACTGAGCTCCAGCCCCAGCCCCTTGTTGGGTTTGTACTCCAAACCACGTGACTACAAAGTCCTGAGCTTCCTTCCACTCTATAGCTTGGTCTGGAGAAATAGCTTATTTGTGTTTTTAAAGAGATGTAAGAGTATCTTACATGTTCAATAACAGATCGATAACAAAGAAGAAAAAAACACTTTAAAAAGTTGGGCAAAGAATCTGATACATAGCTCCAAAAACATACAAATGGCCCATACACACATGAAAAGATGCTCTACACCTTTAACCACTAGGGAAATGCAAATCAAAACCATAATGTTACCACCTCATACCCGGTAGGATGGTCATAAGCCAAAACAATATCAACAACAACAACAAGACTAAAACAGTCTCCAGGATTTGAAGAAACAGGAACCGTGGTATTGCTTTAGAAAAGTTCGGCAGTTTCTCAAGTTAAAACAGTGAGTTAGTTACCAAGTGACCCAGCATCTACACTCCTGGGTGACTACTCAAATTACATATATCCACACAAAGATTTGTTCATAGCAGCACTGTTTATAATAGCTAAAAAGTGGAGTGACCCAAATGTCCATTAACTGATGAATACATAAATAAAATGTGGTATATCTATTCAATGGAATGTTACTGGGCTATATAAAAGGAACCAAGCCCTGATACATACTACCACGTGGATGAATCCAAAAAAGGATTCTTGGGAGGGAAAGCCAGACACAAAAGACCATATATTACCTGGTCACAATTATGTGAAGCTTCCAGAATGGACAAATCCCAAGAGCCAGAAAGTAGTGAGTAGCTGCTCAGGGCTGGGGAGAGGGAAAGGTGAATGACCCTTCATCGCTGATGGAAGTGTTCTGAAGTTAGATTTGTTGATAATTGTAAACACACTAAATATGTTTTAAATTTTAAGAATATACTTGAAACTCCTGAATTTTATGATGTGTAAATCATATCTCAATAAAGCTTAAAAAAAAAAAAAAGCCAAGATGTATTTTCAAGGTGAGCTGGCATTTCTTTCCCCTTCCCACGTCACCAGACACCACCCAAACACTACCAGAAGGTGGCCTGCACCATTTCATTTCCAAGGCTGGTATGTGAAGGTTTAGAACTCCGCAGGAGTCCCTGCCGCACATTCAGTTTTTTAAATGAAAAGGGACCCGTTAAATTGCTGAGGCTGACTTTGAATTCGCGATCCTCCTGCCTCAGCCTCCTGAGCCGCTGGCATTACAGGAGCGCGCCACTGCGCCCGGGTAGTTTAAATTTTTTTAAGCGAAGAAAGACTTTAAACTGCTTCGAAGCGGGGTGGCAAGAGCGTCTTTTAACGTAAAAGGCCCCACAGTTGTGCACAAAGTGCTCCCATCTGCACAGATTCAGACTCGCTTCCACCCCATCCTAAAACCCCCGAAGGTCACAACAGCGCGCTCTTCCATCTAGTGGTGGAAATGGGGTGCAGTTTCCCGACTGCCTCCTAGTATCCTGCTCCACCACCCCTCGCTGCGCAGCCTGGGCCTGGAACCAGCAAGCCAGACCTTGCTCCGCAGCCAGGTGCGTGCGCTAAGCCTCGGCCGTACCCCGGCCATACCCGGGCCTTCTCCTGGGAACCCCGCGCAACAGGGCTGAGGCGGCATGGCCTGCCGCGGACAGTCCTAGGTGTTGGTGGCTGCGCAGGGCGGGGAGACCTGGTCCCCCACCGCGGGAGGCTGCTCTCCTCCGCGGATTAGTGTTAACTCGGCGGGGGTCGAGCAGCGCTGTCCCTGGAAGCGACCCCACTGTCCCTACGCAAACCGTGCGTTGTTCGTAGAGAGAATGCAGAAAAGTGACGCGCGAAGTGCTCCTGGCCCCTGAGGACCTAGGTCCCCACTCCCGGCCTGCGACGCGCACGTGGCGCACTCCTGCCGCGCTCAGAGGGCCGCGCCTGGCCGAGGTCCGCGGGTGTAGACTGGCCGTCTGCGCAGCCGCGAGGGTCCAGTGCGGGGCGCGACCAGGGCGCACGTGCAGCCGCGTGCCGTCGGGTGGCCGCTCGGGTGGGCGGGGCCCGCTGGGAGGCGCCAGCCGGAGGGGAGGGCCCAGCGGGGTGGGCGGCCCGCGGTCCGAGCCGTCCGTCGCGGCGCCGGGACACTCCCGCCGCCTCCACTGTGTCCCTCTGTCCCTGGGAGTGTGGGCAGGGCTGCTGGGGGCTTCCGTGGGCTCAGCCTCTCCCACTTCGGGAGGAAAAAGCAGGGGGAAGCCCCCGGCGCCCGGCGCCTCCGGAGAACCGCGGTCCCCGGAGCTGGAGAGGCGCTGAAGACGAGGCCGGGCGGGGCCCAGGGCGCTGTGACTGTCGCCGTCCGTGTCCGGAGCGGCCGCCCGCGCCCGCCCGCTCGGCGCCCCGGGCCCCCAGCCCCGGGCGTAGGCGCCCCACCCTGCCCGGAGCGGGCGACGGCGGCCAGGGGCGCGCGGGGCATCCGTCACGGGGCCTCGCCGCGGCCTCCAGCTCCCCAGCCTCGGGGAATGCAGTGGCCCCCGACCCCTGGCGCCTCTCGCTGCCTGGGCTGGGCCTCCTCGCTCGCGTGCTCCGCGGCCACGACGCTCCTCGGCCGCGCCGGCCAGACCCCCCTCATGGCCGCCAAGTGGTTCAAGGAGTTCCCGCTGAACCTGAAGACCGTGTCCGAGCGCGCCAAGCCCGGGGGCGCGGGCAGCGGCAAGCCGCGCAAGAGCGCCGAGGCCAGCGGTGCGGGGCCCGTTCCCGGCAAGGGCCGCAAGAACTCGGCGGCCGAGCTGGGGGCCGGGAGGGCCGGCGGCGCCCCCAAGGACAGCCGGCTGTCCCGGGACAGCCTTCAGGGTCTGATTCAGGCCGCGGCGGGCAAAGGCCGCAAGAACTCCCGGGCCACGGAGGAGGAGCCCCACCGGGGCACGGCCAAGAGCTCGGGCTGCAGCACCTACATCAACAGGCTCATCAAGGTGGACACCCAGGAGAAGAACGGAAAGAGCAGCTACCCCGGCGGCGGCGGCAGCAGCAGCAGCACCAGCAGCACCAGCAGCAGCTGCTCCTCTGCGTCCTCTTCACCTTCCTCCCTCGGCCCCGAGCTGGACAAGGGCAAGATCATGAAGCAGCAGGACACGGTAAGAATTCACCCTCCCTCGAGCCACTTCGCAGTGCCAGGGGACCACCGTGAGCCCCTGAGCAGGAGGCTTCACACCTAAGAGAAAGGGAGGCTGGACCCCCAAAGTCCGTCCCCCCCTCTCGAGCCATCCTTTGAAATCATTCCAGTATATATGATCCTGGAAAATCCTCATCCTCGGGCTGGAGGACTTTGCAGAAATGGACTAGTAAATGTATTTAGTGTTTGGGGCTTTCTGCTGTTGTTGTCTTGTTTTGGTACCAGGGATTGAAATACTCAGGGACACTCCACCACTGAGCCACATCCCTGTATTTAGTTTTGTTAGTTTAAAGAGTAATTGAAAGTGGTAAATTGGCCCCTTTATAGATGTGGTTTATTTTAATTTTGACATCCAGGGCATCTGCAAAGCTAGACTTGTGTATGCCTATCCTAGAGCATAAGGAATGGTCACCTCTTAACTGGGTAGGTGTGGATTTGGAAGCTTCAGGAAATGGGGGGGGGCACCCACTTCTGGGCTGGCTTTGGGATTTCATCATCCCCTGCAGTTACACCTCATAAAAGGTTTCTCAAAATTTCAGCAACCCTGCAAGATGACAGTCCTTCCATTCATTCCGCAGACATTTGCTGTGCAGTAGTCATATAGGATAAGGGACACAGGGTACTGAAGCTTAAGGGACTATGACAAGGAAATGCCCTTAGGGAAATTACTGAGCAGGAAAGAAGAAGGTACTTCCTGCTTCTGATTCACTGGAGGTTTTCTGGGTGCTGTCCAATGTGGGAAAGTAAGAAAAGGGATGTGGACATGGGAGGGGACTCTGCATTCTTTTTTTTTTTAATTTTGTTTTAGTTGTTGATGGGCTTTTTAAAATTTTTATTTATTTATATATGGTGCTAAGGATTGAACCCAATGCCTCACACATGCGAGGCCAGCGCTCCACCGCCAAGCCACAAACCCAGCCCGGACTCTCCATTCTTACAGGAATGAGCTGATTTGGTTGGTTGGTTGGTTGGGTTGGGTCATTTCTCTTCCACATGAAAGAGGGAGAAGGAGAGGGGAGGGCTCAAATTGAGATCTTAAGACTCATTCAGGCAAGTGCTTCCTGTCATAGGAACTTTAATTTTTTTCTTGTGAGCCTTCAAACATGCTGCATACCTGGACAGTTAGGAACCTGTAGCGCAGACCACGCGGCATGCTCTGGGCACCTGCATTCATTCCTCCATTCAGTTCTGCCCCCAGTATTCACAGCGTGCCGACCCTATGCCAGGTGCTGATAAGAGAGAACAGAAAGATGGACAGGACCCAGCCCATAGGTTACTTGGTGTCCACCTGACCAGGGACCTAGTATCCCGTCTGTGCCTTGCAGCTGCAGTGCACATGTTGGTGGTCAAGGAGAAGAGATGGAGTGAGGGGTCATCACAGTCCTCCACAGGCTGCTGGCTGTTTCCTGGGCACCACTTCTGGGGGTCTGAGGTTTCTTGGGCCATCTCCCCCCTGGTGGAGAACTCTTCTCCTGACCCCCTCTTCACTTCTCCCTCGTTTATCTTCCTGCCAGCTCCAGTGGCTCTTCTCCAGGAACTTTTTGGAGACAGTTTTATATCAGAGGTGGTGGAATAGGTCCAGAGCTGCTTTCCTGAAAAGGGTCACTTGTTTTTGGTGTTGTCACCCAGTCACTGCAGAATAGAGTTATGGCACACACCTCTCTCTAGGTACCTTCCATTTTGGAAAGATAACTGTTCTCAGACACAAATACCATCAAAACCATCTGATGATCTCAGAGAATCAAGCTGCCTGTGAATTGCTGAACCTTGAACTCCTATAACACTGTTCAGCATTATTTCTCCTTCATGAAGTCTGTCTCTTTTAGAACTATTTTAAAATTCCTTGAGGGCAAGAAGCAAGTCTTGGGTTCATTTTGACTCCCTCACCATGCTCATCCCCGCGTGCTGGGGAATGACTGGCTGACTCACTGTGACCGGTGCTCAGCTGACTGGGCTTGAAAGACCCACAACCCGGGGTATGTGATAGACCAGTTAGTCTTTTCTTTTTGTCTTTTTTCCTTTTAGGTAGTGAGGATTGAACCCAGACATCAGTGGCCCTTTTATTTTGAGACAGGGTTTTGCTAAGTTGCTGAGGCTGGCCTTGAACTTGTGGTCCTCCTTCCTCAGCCTCTCAAGTCACTGAAATCACCTGCACCACCGCCCAGGCTCCAGTTCACCTTTTTATATGCTAAGCCATAGACACCCTGTATTTCCCACTGCCCACTCACCCTCTAACTGACAAATGCTTTATTGCTTGGGGAGAGAAAAGAAGGTAAGAGGAATTTCGGGGATAAGTGAAAGAGTGTATAGGAATGGTTGCAAATCAGTTGTATCACCAAGATTAAAAGTAAGTCGTTTGTCCAGCGGAGACGCATGGTCAAGTGTGAAAGCTGTCTGGAACCCGCGGGAGACTTTGATTCTCTTCAGATCTGCAGGAGATTTCAGTAGCCGTCTTGATGGCATTACCATTTGGTATATGATCACCCTTAGTAACTGTCCTCTTGTTATTTGATAGGTCATCATTTTAGAAGACTACGCTGACCCTTACGATGCCAAACGGACAAAGGGTCAGCGGGATGCAGAGAGAGTGGGTGAGAATGACGGTTACATGGAGCCCTACGATGCCCAGCAAATGATAACAGGTTTGTGACAGGGGCAGAAATCTCACCCTCCCTTGAAGTGTTATAATATGGTAACCAGAGTCTATTTGGGGGAAGGGGAGAAAGCAATTAAGCCAGATCCTGCTGAGCTGAAAAAGCAGAAATTAGACCCCAAACTAAAATGTTGGCTTAGGGACCTTCCCAGGTTTAGAATCGGCAGTTTTGTTTTTCTTTTAAGTTTTTCTGATTCTATGCCGGATGACACTTGGGAGTTTGCACACCTGCTCAGAATGTGGTCTCCAGTTTTAGGGTTAGTTATATATATTTCTTGGCCACAACTCAAAGCTTTGACGTCCATAGTGGGAGTTATAAGTCAGGACCAAGAGACAAATACATCCTTAAGGGATTTCAAGTTGTGAAAAGTTGCCACCATGACATAAACCTCCATATTTTAGTAGATTCTTTTCTACTAAATTGGAGCACCGTTTCAAATTACTAAGGAATAATTAGCAATCACTGTCACTAACCAGCCATCCCACCTAAAATCAAACCAATTTTTAAGACTGATTTTTTTTCAACTGAAAACTATTGCAGTTGTGAGCTAAGCCAGCCCGCTGTCACTTTTGATGTCAAACTTTTCCCTTTTGTACGCAGTGCTCTTCAGTTGGTATTAACGAGGCTTAATCAAAAGGATGCAGACTACTTATTTGATTTATTTGGAAATTTTAGAGTCAATCACTCATTCACCTAATCTGTATTGGAAAATGCAGCTTGAGTGTTGACTCAGGGGAGTTGTTCCAGTGTCCTGGGGTTCATGCCTGGGAAAGGAGCCGTTGGTCACCCGTTAGAGACAGTTTGAACAGTTGAAAAGCCCAGGCTCCCTCCGCCAGTTTCCGCGCGGTGAGCAAGGGTCAGTGGCAGGGCCTGGAAGGGCCGAGACCGAGACCGGCGCAGAGTGAACAGGGGCTGGCGCAGGAAAGCTGGGCTCTGTTTCCTGCCTCTCTGCTTACAGAGATAAGGCATCCCGTTTGGGGAGGGTGTACCCTGGCCAGGCTGTGACCCTCAGGTCACCGGACTGTGACCCTTAATGAAATCTGTGAATGAGAGGAAGTGAAAATGAACTTAGTCAGAATTTTAAAAAATATCAGCGGCTTGAGAGGAACAGGGAAAGGATTGGCCTTTACATACGACTGAGGGAAAGGATTCTCTAAAAAGAAAAATAAGTTCATGCTTAACTTTGATTCACCTTTCTTTGTCTTTGGGTTTTGGTTCTTGCCTTTCTCTTTAACTGGAGTAGGCGGTTGATCTGAACTGTATCGGCTGTTTATCTGGGAGTCCTGCTGATAACAGGGAAAATGCTGTGTTTTAAAAAACTGAATATAGGTTGGTTGGTTTGTTTTAAGTAATCCCCACAGAGAGTTCTATAAGCTAGGGGACTGCAATACTGTCCCTCTTGGTACAGGGTGAAAAAACAAGACCTGAGGGATTCATACTTTTCTACAATCACAAGACTTTTAAATAAGACACAGAGCGGGAATTAGAACCCAGATCTCCCACTCCAAACTGAGTGGCCTGCCCCCCAACACCACGAGGCGCTCAGGCACACTTGAAATGGTACATGCAAAAGCACTGTGAACTTGACCCATGTGTAGGGCATCTCCCCACTCACTAAGAACATTACAGACATTTAAAGTCAAAATTTTGTGGCACATGTTTGTAATCCCAGCAACTTGGGAGGCTGAGGAAGAAGGATAACAAGTTGGAGGCCAGCCTTAGCAACTTCGCAAGACCCTGGCTCAAAAAATTTAAAAATAAATAAACAAACAAATATCTAAAAAGTCAAAATTGTCCAACATGAAATAATATAATAATAGTTAGCATTTAATATTTGAGTTTTATTGTCCAGATTCTGTCTTAAACAATTTGTGAATAAATTCATTTAAGAATACAAAACTAATATACTCCTTTGGTAAATAAATTCAAATTTGTTAAAAATCTAAATTAGTAGCTTTTTTAAACTAGTAATATAAGTATATAGTATTTTGTTCTTAAAAAGCATTATATTAGCTGGGCGTGGTGGTGCATGCCTGTAATCCCAGCATCTTGGGAGGCTGAGGCAGGAGAATTGCGAGTTCAAAGCCAGCCTCAGCAACTGTGAGGCACTAAAGCAACTCAGTGAGACCCTATCTCTAAATAAAATACAAAATAGGGCTGGGGATGTTGAGTGTCCCTGAGTTCAATCCCCAGAACCAATAAAATAAATAAATAAAGCTATTTTTTTAAAAAGCATATAATAGTGATCTTAAGAATATTTTATTATTCGTTAAAATATATATCACATATCTTGATCAATGTGGAGAATCTACCTCTTAGTCTACTCATACACAGCTGGACAGAAAAACAGGAAGTGAGTTTATGGAAGCTAGAAATCAAAGATTTGCTGCTATTTTTTTTTAACCTTTTACTTTTTTTTTTTTATTCAGTTCCTTGTATGCTTAGTGGTCAAGTCCAAATTTCTGAATTTTTCTGTTTGTTTTTATTTCATTTTTTTGCAGTGCTGAGATCAAAACCTGGACTTTATGCATGTTAGGCAAGCACTGTACCACTGACCTATATTCCTGGTCCCAGGCATTACTTTCTACTAATAAAATTTTGGAATATCCTAGCATGTATGAGGCCCTGGGTACAATCCCTGGCATTGAAAGAGAGAGACTTTATGAATAAATTATCGCTGAGATTTATTCAAAGGATTGTTCATAAAAAGATATGACTATGAATACAAGGCAATGTTAACGTAAGGTTGTATTGTTTTTCTGCTAAATTAGCAGGAACATTTTAGCTCAGTACTTCACAGAAATATCCTACATAATTTAGCATTATGATTGTTAGCCACTCGAGCATTGGATGGGTCTTTAGAAGTTTCCTAAAGTAGCCATTAGTTAGCATGAAAATTCTTTTTGGGCTTGGTATCATACAGCTGCAAGTCCAGGGCTTACTGGCTGCCAGACTTACCCAATTACCCCACTAAATCCTACAATAACCCTGTAAGATTGGTTTCTTCTACACAGTTGAAGAAACCTAGGTTCAGAAACATGAAGTAACTTGTCCAGATTCCCCAGCCAAGAGGGGACCCATACAAGGTCATTCAGCAACCTTTGGTTTTGGCTCTTGAGCACTGGTCAAAGATTATTTTTAAATTTTTATTTTTTTCTCCCCAAATGGTTGTGTTGGTTTGTTTAAATAGACAATCTAAAGGAGAACTCAATATTGGGGTTTGTATTTTAAAAACTATCATAGAAAATAAATACACATGGCACATGGGCACTTTTTTTTTTTTTTTTTTTTGAAGTGCTGAGGATCAAATGGTGGGCCCCACTCATGCTAAGCAAGCACCTATCACTGTGCTACATAAATCCCCAGCCCAGATGTCTTGATTTATCTCTAATTTCCTTGTTAAATGTCAGGGTTTCTGAATTATACTGGCTTTTTTTCCAGATATTTATTTGATAAGAAAATATTAATTTCATATCAAAAGCTTAAACACTGATAAAAAGTAAAAAAAAAAAAAAAAAAAAAAAAGTTGCCTAGGCTGAAATCGTGGTGCATGCCTGTAATCCTAGCAGGATTCAGGAGGCTGAGGCAGGAGGATCACAAGTTTAAAGCCAGCCTCAGCCATTTAGTGAGGCCCTAAGCAACTGAGCAAGATCCTGTCTGAAAAACTAAAAGAGACTGGGGATTGGGGTTGAGCTGGCTTAGGGGTTGAGCATCCCACAGTTCAATCCTTGGTATCAAAAAGAAAAGAAAAAAGTTGCATAGTATCCCTGTTTCTGATTCCAAGAGGAAACAAGAACCCTATGAGGCTTTATGTTTAATGTTTTGGAAAAAAAATGAAAGGGATTAAGGGGAGACATCTGTTATTTAAAATTGAAATTAATATTTTACTTGAAATCTTCTGAACATGAAGGTATGGCAGAGAAAGCCTTGGGCTCCGGGCAGGTGTGGTGGCTCACACCTGTAATTCCAGCAACTCTGTAGACTGAGGCGGGAGGGTTCCAAGTTATAGGCCAGCCTCAGCAACTTAGTGGGACTGTCTCAAATAAAAAATAGAGGTCTAGGAATGTAGCTCCGGGGTAGAGTGCCCCTGGGTTCAGTCCCCAGTACAGAGAGAGGCAGAGAAAGCATGAGCTCTGGGGTCTGTAATAAATGGCTCCCCACTAACCACCACGTGACGGTGGCCTCAGTGTGCTCACCTGTGAAGGGGACAGCACTTCTGTTGGTGCGTTCTGAGGCTTCCCTGGGATCTCACACCATCCTGTACCTGGCATACCCCCAAAATGTGGCCATTGTTTAGACACTGCAGGAAGAATCAAATCCCATTTTTAAAGAAAATTCTGGACAACATAGAATGATATTAATTGCTAACTGTAAGTAATTTCATTTAAAAAGTTTTCTGCCACGTTTTAAACACGAACGGCATCCTTATAACAGGGAGAACGGGGAGTTCCGAAGTGGGAATCTCGGGCCCCTCAGGTTCTACACCAACCAGCTGCCATTTTAACTGGTGCGGGGCGCCCTCCTCCTCTGCCTGCCGTGTTTATCTGCCGCCCGTCCACTGCACTCTGTTGTCTGCCGCGGTAAATGGCCTCTATCGGGCCAGGGCGTAGCTTCCTCTTGCCATTTCCTCCTTCTCAGGCTTGTTTCCTCTGGAGCCAGCTCTGCACGTCAGGGGCCATTCTCCCTGCAGGAAGGGTCGGCTGCAGCCCCACGATTGTTTCTGTTTCTATGGAGCCTCAGGTTGGGGGCAGCCAGGTGTTGGAGGGGACTGGAAGGTTACTCCCCTGGAAGGGGGAAGGATGCTGTGTCCAAACCCTTTTTCCCCTGATTAAACATTGTTGCCAAAGGTGATGATACTTTGCAGATTCCCCATCCCAAGACCATGCAAAGAAAGGGACGTTCTGAGCTACATGTTTTCCAGCGTATCTCCCAGACCTGGGCCCAGGCTATCCGAAACAGGAGGAGTGTGAGGGCCTCCTAGCAAGGAAAATTCAAACACATGTGTAATAAGAACCCCAGATTCCAATCACCACACCTCATCTGAATGCAAATTTATTGAAATTTCCATGTGAGCTCGACTCCTGTCTTGGGATTGAAATCAACGGCTTCTCGGGCAGAATTGAAGGCAGCACCCTGAGGAAGGCTTTCCCCAGACTCTGCCAGACAGTCTCAACGGAGGGTAAACAACTTCTGATTAGAAACCTAAAAATTCTAAATTCATCCTTTGAATTCCTTTGTGTTTTCTGCTTCCTTCTTCTTAGTTCTTTAGAAAAGTCCTTTTTTTTAAAATGCCAGCCTTATCTTAATTGAACCAAGAACAGAATATGTTTTGTTTCTTGTTCCATATCTCCATCGAGACTAGGCAATGAAGAAAAAAAAAAAAAAAGAGAGAGGCCCTAGGATTGAGAGTCGGTGGCCTGGGACAGGAGATGCCGCTCTGGCCTCAGCCCAAGCCCCTGACCTGGCCTTGGGGCCGTGGGCAGGGGCCAGTCCTGCCTGATCACATTCACAGCATCATGTTCCGATGTGGAAGTTTTCGTCAGAGAGTGCCCTGGGCTTCGTTCGGACCACCTGACTCCTAGGATGTCCCCCAGACCCAGGACACTGGACCCCCGGAGGCGGAACCCAGGCAGCAGGTTGTGTTCCCGCTCACCCAGGTGCTTCCAGTGACCTAGAACCGCACCGAACTGGAGGCAGCTGCTGCCAGGGAACTGTGACCTCAGCCTAGAAATAGAGTCTGCCCTTTTGAATTTAGTGTCCTGATTTCATTCACGTTCCCCATCTGTTGTCTCTCGTTGCGACAGGAGTCCTAGTGAGTCAGTGACTGTCCTCCAGAGAGCAGGACCGTGACTGTGAGAGGGGAAAGTCCTGACTCCTTCATTCCCACAGCACCACCTCGTCTCACCTGCTCAACCCACCCAACATTCTCACCTTCTGGCTGGCACCTCCCCCTCCAGACGCCCTTAGCTGGAGGAGTCCCGGGCTCTGCCTGGGCCCTAGCAGTCTCCCCTCCCTCTCTCCCTTGATGGCTTTCATTCTCACAGTGTTCACATCCATCCGTTGTCACTCCCTGACACGTACCTGCAGAGCCACGTAGTCACCTCCTGGAGAAGCTCTAGAGGACCCTCCCACCCATCCACTCACTGTGTGGCACAGCTGCATGTCCTGCCTCGTAAACAGGCTGTGGGGGTCTCCGCCCAGCCCACCAAACTGGGCGCATAGACACCTAGGGCTGGCCCAGCTGTGGCACCTGACCAGCTCTGGGAGGCCTGAGAGGAGCAGTGGGCAGGAAAGACTTCTCCAGGAGGAGGAGGAGGTGCTGACGTCGATTTCAGAGGCCAAGAAGGTGCCAGACCTTGATGGGTGAAAGACAGGGTCATGTACAGGGCGTTGCAGAAGCTCCATTTGGTTAGAGCGAGGAGTCGGAACGCAGGAGTAGGTTGGAGAGGGAGAGGTGATCTGGTCGTGGGCTGCCTCCACGCCCCACCGGGATTTGCACTTTGAAGGTAGATAGTTGAGAGCGCATGAGGGGTTCCATGAGGAGATGAGGCTTTGTGTGTGGTTGTGACCAGGTAGAGGGCGGGCTGAAGGCCTCCTGGTGGGCATTTACGAGAACCACAGCCTGGTGCTTCTGTGGTGGTCCACACTCTGGTCATCTCCAGCTGACCCCCAAGGCTCCTGGACCCCAGCTGGTAAACACAGCCGGTCCCATCCCACTGTAACTGGTGGTCAGTTGGTTGACAGCAGGGGTTCTCCAGCCGTTTCTAAGCCTCAGTTCAGTACGTGCCTTGGGACTTGCGCTGGCCTGTATCCGATGTCAGCTGTCTCCAGTGAAACACGTGTTCTGCCTCATGTTTATAGAAAAATCCAAACTTCTTGTCTTTGCTGTTGAAACATCTTCACTTCAGCACCTGGCTCACCTGGTTTCATAGCGTCTCCCTCAGCCTCCTTCCCGTCTGGTCTCGGGGCCTTCCGGCTTTCCCTGACTCCCCTGTGGAAACAAGCCCTAGAGTGTCCACTCCATATCCTCACTCTTGCAGCCTCCTCCGCTGGAAATGACCTTTCATATCAACGTCAACTCTCTTCCATTTCTCTTCCACTTGGAGTCAATCCAAGTGGAGTGGCTGAGAGTAGGACTTCTAAAGCCCAACCTCCTGCTTATTGGTTTGCATAATTTCCTTAACCTCTTTATGCTTCAGTTTTCTCTTTTCTAATAATGGAGAAATAATAGTACCCATCTCATAGAGTGGTGGTGGAAATTACAACACTCCTAGAATAGTGCTTAACACATAGGGAGCCATTGATGAATGTCAGCTCTTGAGTAATTATTGTTTTTCCCTATAACACCTCTTTTACTTTGATTTATCCTGCAATTATTAGCCTGATGCATATTTTATGTAAATATGCCTGGCTTCCCCACTATATTAAACTGACTGGAAGAACTCTGACTAGTGCACACAAATAGCTTCTCTGGGTGTGTTTGGAGCGATACTTTGGATATCATAAACGTCAGCCCATTTTTATTAAAATAATTTGATCTGGGGCTGGGGCTCTAGCTCAGTGGTAGAGCACTGCCTGGCCTGCAGGAGGCCCTGGGTTCGATCCCCAGCACCCCAAGACAAAAATGCGTTGATCTGGGCTTCCTAACAAGATGTAACAGCTGAAGGTGACAAGAAAGTCAGACAGGACCAGGAAGTCAAACAGGTGTCCCTGAGGGCACTGCGTACTCATTGGAGGGGCACCCTGGAGGGCCACTTCTTATTCTTTGGAGGGGCACCCTGGAGGCTGCCTGACTTCTGATGTCATTCCTTCTCTAATGACTTGGTCCCATTACCTGGCTCAGGTGAGGAAGGGAGGAAGTCGGGACACCTGCTTTTGCAGTCGTAGCCCAGTTGGAAGGTGATGGAGTCCCTTTAGGAACAATCCTGGAGTTATCCAGCCTCCACCAGGAAAGACAGAGGTCACTGGTCAGCCTCAGCCTCCTCGTCCCCCACCCCACCCCAGTGGCACCTTTTCCTTCAAGGTATTGCTGTGACGCGTGTTTTTCAGAAATCAGACGCCGGGGCTCCAAGGACCCCCTGGTGAAGGCTCTCCAGCTGCTGGACAGCCCCGGGGAGCCCGGCGAGACCTGTGCCAAGTCCGAGCCGCTGGCCAAGAGGCGCAGCTCCAAGGACCTCCCGGGGAGGCCGCCGCAGCTCTACGACACCCCCTACGAGCCCCCTGAGGGCCCGCGCGCAGAGGGGAGGGCGCGGCCCGGGGACAGCCGGCTGCCCGAGGACGACGAGAGGCCGGCAGCCGAGTACGAGCAGCCCTGGGAGTGGAAGAGGGAGCAGATCGTGCGCGCCCTGTCAGGTGAGGGCAGCGGGCCTCGACTCCCTGAAACGCATTTTCTTTTTTAAAATTGATACATCGTTGTGCAAAATTATTGAGTAAACTTATTGCTGTTTCAATTACATGTATGCATTGCAGCAAATGGTCAAGTCAGGGAAATTAACATGCCCACCACTTGGACCAGCTATCACCTCCCGAGTGCGCACTCGTTGCCATCTAAAACGCCCCTCTGTGATCTCAGCGGCGGGAGGCTGAGGCAGGAGGATCGCAAGCTCAAAGCCAGCCTCAGCAACATAGGAGGCCCTAAGCAATCCTGTCTCAAAGAATTAAAAGGGCTGGGGATGTGGCTCAGCGGCCAAAGCACCCCTAGGCTCAATCCCCAATACCAAAATACTACTACTACTAATAATAATAATAAAAACACCTCCGAAGTCCGGGGTAGAACAGTGGTTAGGAGAGTCTGGGGAGGGGATGGACAAGGAGGAGTAGGGAGAGAGATTGGTCAGTGGGACAGAGTCACAGATAGGAGTGTTGTGTTGTGATGATTCAGCTCACAGCAGGGTGAGGATACTAATAATCACATGTATTTCAAAATACCTAAATGGTTTTTTTAAAAAATTTCCCTAGTTACAGATGGACAAAATATCTTTATTTATTTATTTATTATGTGGCGCTGAGGACCGAACCCAGGGCCTCATGCATGCAAGGCAAGGCACTCTACCACTGAGCCACAACCCCAGCCCAAGAGAGGGTTTTTAATGTTACACTCTGACTTGTCTTGTTCTTTTGTCTGTTCTTCCTTTCGCTGTCTCCCTCCCTCTCTCCTCTCCTCTCTTCCCTTCTCTCTGTCTCTTCTCTCCTGGACATTGAACCTCCATGGGCACCCCACTGCTGAGCTACATCCCCAGACCTTTTTATTTTTCAAGACAGGGTCTGGTAAGTTGCCCAAATGGCCTCGGGTTTGGTCCTCCTGCCTTAGCCTCGGGCGTGCCTGGGATTACAGGCAGGTGCTGTCATGCCCGGCTCTATTTTCTCCACGTTCCTTACTGCAAGTTTCTTTTTTCCAAGGAATTTGAGATAGGGATCTAAGAATCCGGCTCTAGTGGAAAGCCCAGGACTGGAGTTGTGCCCTTAATGTTGCATTTTCCCCCCTCAGTACCTTTCTTTTCTTTCCTCTGTGTGCAGCTGCTTTGGAAGTGCTTATTACAACAGTCGGGAAATCGTATCTGACCACCGTCTGTTTATTTCTCCCACTGAAACTGTCAAATTGGGAGCAGGTCCTTCACTCTCCCGTGGTGCTGTTCTTAAGCCTGTTGAATCCTTGGTTATAGTGGAACGTGAGGGTGCTCCCTTGTAATCCCAGCCACACGGGAGGCTGCGATGAGGAGGAGCAAAGTCTGAAGCCAGCTTGGGCAACTTAGGTCCTGTCTCAAAATAAGATAGTAAGAAAGCAGCCGAGGGCGTGGCACAGGGGTAGAGCCTTTGCCCAGCATGTGTGAAGACCAGAGCTCAGTCCCCAGCACTGCCCCAACAGTAAACGCCAATGGAAAAGTGAATAGAGAGCATATTTGATAGCAAACGTTTAAGTCGATTTCTGTGTGATTTTGACCTTGTTTTCAGCAGATCTGCAGGGGTACCTGCTGTCTCTCAGCCCTCAGCTGGGCCCTCCCACAGCTCGCTGTCTTCTCTCCAGTCTCCCTGACACAGCATCTTCAACATATTGTTGGTGGTGTTGTTTCTGGGTTGACTTATTTTTTTTAAGAGAGAGAGAGAATTTATTAATATTTATTTTTCAGTTTTCGGTGGACACAACATCTTTATTTTTATGTGGTGCTGAGGATCGAACCCAGCGCCCCGTGCATGCCAGGCGAGCGCGCTACCGCTTGAGCCACATGCCCAGCCCTGGGTTGACTTTTGTTCATATTTTATTATTAAAACTGTGTTTTGGTACCGGGGACTGAACCCAGTGTGTTAACCACTGAGCCACGTCCCCAGCCCCTTATTCATCTATGTATTCATTTTAATTCTGAGACAGGGTCTCACTAGGTTGCCGGCCGAGGCTGGCCTCCAGCAGGCAGTGCTGCGTCACTGGGATCACGGGCGTGCACCGCTGTTCCTGGCTTGCTCATCTGTCTTCACGGAGTGCTACACACTCTTACAAGCAATGTGCATATAACTGTGTTTGTTCTTTCTTTTTCTGGGGGGTGGTCCCGGGGATTGAACCCATGGGTGCCTCATTCATCCCCAGCCCTTTTTATTTTGAGACAAGGTCTTGCTGAGTTGCTTAGGGCCTTGCCTTGAACTTGTGATCTCCTGTCTCAGTTGCCCGAGTCCCTGGGGTCATAGGCACGCACCACCTGACCTGGTTAGCCTTTTTTTTTCCTGAAAATACTGAAACTTGGAGTTCTTTAAAAGTCCATGCTGAAGCCTGTTGGCTTCCTCTCATACTCTGAAGTTCTTGGATGCTGATCAGTATCTTAAAGAAGAGTGGCTGTCTGTCTGCAGGATGCTGGCAGCCATCAGATAGCAAAGGCAGCGGGGCTCAGCTCTCCAGGTCGTTTTGCAGCATGTTAGAGTCCGTGTTAAAGAGAAAAAGCTTCTTCCCCAGCTAAGGCGGGCGGGGGGGCGGTATTTTTCCTTTGAAGTCTGCCTGCCACCTCTGCTGTCTCGGATGTTAAATGGAGTCTTCCTTCCAGTCCAGTTTGAGGGATCTGAGCGACCTTCCGTCAAGGAGGAGGCCGTGAGGCAGCACCACCGGCAAAAGAGCTGGACCCAGAAAATCTTGAAGCCAGCCCTGTCTGACCACAGCGAGGGGGAAAAGGTGGACCCAGGCCTGCCCCTGGAGAAGCAGCCGTGAGTGTCCTTCCCTGACCCCGAGATAAGCAAGGCCGCGGGTACTGACACCTGGTTCTTTGTTGGTGAACACCTGTCTGAGGGGGGCCTGTTCTTGAAACCCATCTTTGGAGCTCGGTGCATTGTGCGGAATGGACAGTGCATGTATCCCCAGCACCTTGTTTTACAGTGCATTCTCCTTACACGGGGAGAACTTCTGGATGACACTAGCCCTGTTGACCCTCCCTGACAGGATTGGTGGGACCCTCAAGTCTGCCTTCTGTCTCTCCTGAGAGAGAGCCCGCCTGGATTTGCACTTTGATGCTCACAGCACCTTCCGTCTTCTGTCTCCCTCTTTTCAGTTGGTATCATGGTGCCATCACCCGGGCGGAGGCTGAGAGTCGACTACAGCCCTGCAAAGAAGCTGGGTACCTGGTTCGCAACAGTGAATCAGGGAACAGCAGGTACTCCATTGCACTGAAGTAAGTATTTCAGCTTCATGGGCCTCCCTGCCTCAGGGGAGGGTACACCTACCACGGGTAGATCACCAACCCAAGATATGTAGCTTAGCGGGGCACAGTGGTGTGTGCCTGAATCCCAGCAGGTGGTGAGGCTGAGGCAGGAGGATTGCAAGTTCAAGACCGGCCTCAACAACCTTCGTGAGAACCTCAGCAACTTAGCAAGACCATCTCAAAAAAAAAAAAAAGAGAGAGACTGGGAATATAACTCAGTGGTTAAAAAAAAATCCCTGAGTTTAATCCCTAGGGCTAATATATATATAATGCATATGTATTTGTATGTTATATATAATATATATTTATACATGTATAATTTGAAGGTGGTTCACAGGAATGTATCTAGAGAAAATAATATGCATTTAATTAAACTGAAAGTCAAACACAATCTGAATGCAGAATTGGTGTTGGGTAAAGGCTCCAATATCTATTAGGATATTGAGGGTCCTATTTCATGATCTTTGTACCTGAGTCAATTTTTACCCTTCAATTGCCTCATCTGGAATAGGACCTCTCTCAGTAGAGAAATAATTCCTGGTAAAAAGAAAAATCTCTAGCGGGATAGTTCAGTCACTCTTTCATTCCCAACAATTAGGGACTTTCATAAATTGGATCCCTCGATTGTCAAAATGCCAGCTGCAGTTTTGATACCAGTCTCCTCTGGTGAATTAGGAAACGCCGACTTGCCTATTACACCCTCTGTCTAATTGTGCTCAGAAAATTCACTTTGCCTGGTAGGCCTGCTGGAGGGTATCATGGAAATTCTCGTTGCACGGTGAGTTCAGCGGCGCTATATTGGAGGATCATTGTCAAGAGCCCTAACAGCATTTCCTTCCTGAGGAAGCTGAGCCCCTGCAGCTGAAACAATCAGACTGCAGGGGCAGCGAGGGGGAGGGGCCGCGGGCAGCCCGGCTCAGAAAATGGGATAGGCCACCACCAGATACACAATACCAGGAACAGCTCCGCTCGGTTCCTGAAATCGGTGCTTTGAGCCTTCAGTGCCAGCCGTCACTGCATAGAACCAGGAATGGTCTTTCCACATCGGTGGGGGGGCATGGAAATAGTTTTCATCCTTGTTATCATTATTATTAATGTGTTCTTCGGGGGAAGGAAGAAAGAAGAAGCCTGCCGTGAGTTCTGTTAGCGGCAGTGAGGACGGTGAGCTGCAACTTTGCACTTCAGCCCATTGGCGCTTGCACTTAAGCTCTAGTTCTGCAAGTTGGGGCCTTTTTTTTTTTTTTTTTTTTTGGTCCAGTGTCCAGTGACTTGAGTGTAAGAAGGACGAACAACCCAAGGATGACGTGCCTTTAGGCTGCAGTACTTCCCCAGAGCTTCCCCCGAGTGTCTAAGGCATTTCTGTTGGTGAAGAGCAGTTCCAGGAGTGGGAAGAGGACTCTCCGGGGATTGTTGGCTGTGGGGAGAGATTCTCTGCTCACTTGTTCATGTCTCCTCCTTGATTTTTTGTTTTGCTCCAGGACGAGTCAAGGATGTGTCCACATCATAGTGGCTCAGACCAAAGACAACAAGTACACACTGGACCAGACGAGCGCTGTGTTCGACAGCATCCCTGAGGTGGTGCACTATTACTCCAATGAGAAGCTGCCTTTCAAGGGAGCAGAGCACATGGCCCTGCTCTACCCTGTGCACAGCAAGCTTCACTAAGTTCCAGCTAACGCGAGCCCAGGAGGCCACCAGCGCCTAAGAGCGTCTCAGTGGACAAGGCTGGACTGCTCCCCACACCGAGTGCAGAGTGGGACTCACCCCTAAAAGTCAGAAAGTCTGCGATCTTGAGTCCATTGCTAAGTAGCTGTACAATAAGGAACCATCCTTCACCTGTCGCCTCCTCCTCTGAAGTAGGAGGTTCTGTTTGGGGGGGTGACCCTCAGGAAAGGTAAGTCTAGAGTTCAGGGGCACAGAAGGTCTCCAGCAATGTGCGAGTTGTTCCCTGGGATACCAGATCTCTGAACACACCAACAGCGCACACCCCACTCGGCCTTCACCTGGGATCACGTGGACTGGAAGAGCATTTAGTGTCGCACCCCTTAGCAGGGGACTTGGATGGACAGTGGGAAATGTGAACAATGGGCAAGAAGTTGTCTTTCTCCCTCCAGTGTCCTGAATCAGCTCTGTGTTCCTGCAGATCACCACGCTAAGGTGCGGCAAAAGGATCACTTTGTTGGTCAGCTTTTCTAAGAAAAATTGGTCTTTTCTCATTTTCTGTGGACCTTCTTTTAAATAATTTTCCAGGAACCCAATAATATAAGCATAAATGGGCAAGAAGACACCCCAGATCTAGGAATCACCAGTATAATGATAAGCCTTGGCATCATTATCATAATTCTGGATCGCAGAGTAAAATATACCACAAAGATTTCCTTTCGGATTTTTAAAAATTCACAAAGCTCAACAGCCATTTCCTATTGGATGGTTATGTAAAACTTCAGATATCTTTTGTTTTGTCTTTGTGCATTTTAGTTCCCATGGAATCATCTTTAAGTTTGTCTCTAAAATTAGAATTGCTTCATATTTTTAGTAAATTTTTTTTCAAAAACAATTTTGAGATCTGATTGTATGAACTGGGTCACTAGAGTCTGCAAAGATTCTCTTTCTGTACAAAGCAAGCCTGTCCACGCTGGATAAAAGTATTTTAAAGCCAGGTGCTGTGGTGCACACCTGTGATCCCAGTGACCGGGGAGGCTGAGGCAGGAGGATCACAAGTTCAGGGCCGGCTTCTGCAAATTAGCAAGGCCCTAAGCAACTTAGTGAGACCCTGTCTAAAAATAAAAAATAAGAAGGGCTGGGAATGTAGCTCAGTGGTGAAGCACTCTAGGTTCAATTCCCAGTACAAAATAAATAAATAAATAAATAAATAAAATAAATGTAAAGACTCAAATCAGGTGTGGAGGTACACATTTCTAATCCCAGCTACTAGGGAAGTTGAGGCAGAAGGATCACAAGTTAGAGGCCAACCTCAGCAGCTTAGTAAGATTCTGTCTTAAAAATAAAAAGGACCAGAAATAATGTAGCTCAGTGATAGAGTGTTCACCCAGCATGCACAAGGCCCTGGATTCAATTCCTAGCACTACACCAAAAAACAACACCACCAACACCAAAAAAAAAAAAAAAAAAAAACTTTGAGATCGTCCCTAACTACTATTCCTTAATACATTAAATTAATAGTCATAGTATTGTTATCTTTATGATTTACCATGAATTTATATTGCCTATTTATTGATGATGACAACTCTCTGGTGGGTGGCTCTGGAATTAGAACTGTCTTCTGGGGTTCATAATCTGATTCTCAGAGCTGGTCCAGATGAGATGTGCTGACCGTCATCAACGAAAAGTTAACTTTCGTAGCTTATTTCAAATACACAAAAAACTGTTGATTTGGGTAATTTTCAGGAGAGCATAACTTTCCAGTTATTATCATCTGATTCAGAAGTCAGCACATTTTTTGCTTTTTAAGTTTTGATCTAAGTCTAAGAGTTGTGAAGGTTGTGAGATCTTCAATAATGTTTCGTTGTATAAGTCTTGATAGATTTGCTGGGGGCGGGGTACTGGGGATCAAACCCAGGGGCACTTACCACTGAACCACGTCCCCAACCCTTTTTATTTTTTGAGACAGGGTCTTACTGAGTTGCTTAGGGCCTCACTAATTTGCTAAGACTAGCCTCAACCTTGTGATCCTCCTGCCTCAGCCCCCTGAGTCACTGGGATTACAGACCTGAACCACCATGCCCGGCATTGATAGAAGTTTTTAAGTATGTATTGGTTCATGTACTATATCTTTAGTACAAGTTTTTTTTTTTTTTAATTTTCAGCATCCATAGTTCCAATTCCGTTCAACAAGTATTTATTATTTTCTATATGCACATTATTCATTGTGTTAAACTTATTTTTAGGTATACATGCTAGTGATGAAACCTTATTTTTTTTTGCTAACCTTATTCTACAAAGGAAATACAACAATTATCTTCACTTTAATAAATGCTAAAAGCTTTATAAATTTTTTTTCTTTGTGCATTAAATGATTTTTGGCCCATACCCAGCAACTATGATGAATGTATAATGAAATAACCTTTTGAAAATAGGCCTGATGCATGAAGTATTTATTGAGCTTCCATCATATAACTAGGATTGTGCTTCCTCTACATAATTTTGCTGTGACGGTGACGCTCTTCTCTTTATATAATTAAAAGTGGAGGAGACTGGGAGTTTATATATAGTCCACTTACCTTACAACCGCACAGGAAGTTAAAATAAGCAGAAATATAGTAAATTAGTGGAAGCCTGGTGAAGCCGGTGTTAAGCTACTGTTTTCTGCTTAGGTTGTGACACAAGCTGACAAAAGCCAGGGAATTCGCAGCTGGGTGGTGGCATAGAGTGCCATATGTTCTAAAAACAATCAGACCCAGCAGGGAGACCCTAATGGCTTCCTTGTTAAGCCTCCTGAGGGGCCAGCTGATCTGAAACTCTGTGACAGGTTCTCTGAGCTCTGAATGGTTGGGCTTTTAATCAGTTTATCTCCACACAAGTATTTTTCTGCAATCTCCGTTCTTTTCATTCTCTCAGAATATTCTCTGGCAAAATATTGTCTTTTGGCGAATTCTCCCTCAGTGCCTAGATTCCAGCATGTGTAGGGCTGTGTCAGTTCTCCCTTCTGTATCACAGCTTCTTTCCAAAAATTGTTCCGCTCCAGAGTCCTGAGTAACGCACGCAGCTGGTCAGTTTCACCTCTGGGAGGGCAGAGGGCCGCCGGGTGCGTGGTGAGCACCTGTGGCCCAGCCACTCACTCGGGAGGCTGAGGCAGGAGCATTGCTTGAGCCCACAAGTTCACACCCAGCCTGGGCAACGCAGCAAGACCCCTGCTGGGGGAAAAAGGCAGAAAGACATATCTGTTTCCTTGGATTCCACAGCCCTTTCTATCAGGATGGATTTCTTACATTTATGTAACATAAGAATGAAATAATGGAGAAGGTTCAATATGTATACAAAAGGGCAAGTATTGACATGTCTATTCTCTAAGGGGGCAGAAGTGTTTTAAGTTATTCATGGTGCTTTCATAAGAGGCATATGTAGGAAACCCTTCATTCTTCACTGTTTAAAGCCTGCTTTATTGAAATGGTGTTCATTTATTGACCTCTGCTGCAGGATAGGGAGGTGGGAAGATAATGTACAGAGAAAGCCAGATATTTGGGGGGCAGATGGGAAATAGTCCTAATTTGGAAACTGGATTATTTTACAGTGTTATTACTCTGTTATTGGCTCTTAGTATTGGGTACATCTTAACATTTAATTCAGAACAACAACTATGAGACATTCTTTAATTGCTTGTTCTACTCTATAAAAATGCCATTTTTTTTTAGAAGTCAGGGTTAATGTCTTGGATTTCCATTATTCTAGGAGGAAGAAACCCACTGAGTGATATGTCTAGATTTCATTTCTCCTGTGCATGCTTTTGATATCAGCAGGATTTCGTTGATACCTGCCTCAGTGATCTCTCATCCATTGTTGTCTCTTTCTTATTTTCCATAACCAGCACTAGCGTGGCCCTGTGTTCTCTTTACAATCACTCTTTATTCTCATTTCCAATTTTTGCGCTCCAGTCACTGACTTGGAGACACTTGGCCTCCTGCTATGACAGCCTCCAGGTCTGGCCTTGTGCAATGATGGTGTTTTACTGCCATCTAATGGAAAGAGATCAAACTGCAGCTGGGAGAAGAAGCTGTGCGTGTAAGGGTGGAATTTTCTAAAGGATTTCTGACACAGTCCATAAAAGAAAATAATAATAATAATAATAATGTTTCAGTTGCCCCCCCTAAAATATAACCTTTCCTGTGGCAAATGTGCTTTGAAACTTCATATAACTGTCATCACGAGGTCTCTGGATTCCAACTAGGTCGTGTAGTTTAGAATCTTAAGAATATTGTAGTGAATAAATTGGCAGCAGATCATTGAGTTAGGCATCACGTTTCAGCCATATGGTTATATCGTCAGAGGGATTTAACATTTTAAATGTCAACTGGTGCATTCTTGTAATTTTCAAAATATTTGAAGATGGTATATAATACAGGTGCCTCTCTATAGTACCTTGATAATTTATATGGTATCAGAGATATTTTTTAAAATTTCTGGATGTGTTGCAGTAGCTGGTGTAGGCTGTGTGCCCTCCTAAGATGGTTTGCTCTGAGATGGAATTTTAAATAAACATTATGTCAAAAAAACTGGAGTGGTTGTGCTGAATCCAGTTAGTTTCGAGAATCGCCTCCCTGCATAAAAAGCACCTTCTGTAGTAACAGCCACAGCAAAGCTTTATTTGCAGTGACTTCTGATAACAGAAGTGTACAAACAAAGCAGGGTTGGACCCAGCCAGCAGACTGATCTGTTCACACCCGGCCCCATCCACCTTGAGAGCCCTTCTGTGGTGTCTTCCTCCCAGATACAATGTAACAGCTGGGATGTAGCCTGGTAGGGCCACCAGGAGTGTGTTCAAGGCCCTGGGTTTTATTCCCAGTATTGGGGGCAGGGGGACAGAACACAACAACAACAATGTAACAGTGCAGTTTTGCTCCTGTTTATTGGCCCCTCTTCTTCCTGAGTAGAGAGTAAACTGCATTTGTTCTCATTCCTAGCTGGGCATCAGAGATGGGCTCTGTGTTTATGTCATCGTTATTAATACACCCCATCCCTTCCGAGGGACTTGATGCTTGTAAAACTGGGAGAAGTCTACATTTTAAAAAATCTATTTAAAATATTTAAAATCTGTATTTTTAAGAAAGTCCATGCCAGGCGAGGTGGCACACGCCTGTAATCCCAGCGGCTGGGGAGGCTGAGGCAAGAGGATCCTGATTTCGAAGCCAGCCTCAGTAACTGTGAGGCACTAAGCAACTCAGTGAGACCCTGACTCTAAATGAAATAAAAGTGGGGCTGGGGATGGGGCTGAGTGGTCGAGTGCCCCTGAGTTCAATCCCCAGTACCAAAAAATTAAAAAATAAAATAAAATAGAGAAACTCTACCAGGTGACTTTGATACACAGTGCTGGCTGACCACCACCACTGGAAGCCACCATTTAGAAACATTCGAATAAAGTCATTTGACATCCTGGAAGAGGGGTACACTGTTGAGCCCAGGTTTCGGATTTGTAATTTCCATTGAACATTTATATAGATTGCCACCAGGTGGTAGAAGTGCCTATTGTTTTTTGCCATCTGTGTTTAAGATAAAAGGAAGTTTGCATCTAGAAATGTTCCCTCCGCCCTCCACTAGAGCAATCAGAGTCGTGTTTTTCAGAATCGAGATCGAACACATGTTTACGAGAGCCCAGGGTGTGGGTGTTGAACACTGGATTCTGACCCTGTGAAAGGCCAAGATGTGAGTAATGAAAGTAGACTTGCTACAGATCAGGAGCCCTGCTAAGCAAATGCTTTTCATTCCACATGATTTGATTTTAATCCCTCACAACTCAGGTGAGCCAAGTGGGGAGGCTCATTTTTCAGATGAGGACACTGGTTCGTGGGATGAGTAGGTGAGATCCTAGGTCAGTCACCTAAGAGCCTAGATTGCAGCCTAAGTCAGCTTCTGGAGTTCAGGTCTGGTTCTTATCTGCTGGACCTCTACTCCTCCTTTGAGAGGGTATTACCTGGCCTGCAGAACTCCTCACATTTAAGACTGATTAGTTAAAATAGGGCACAAGAAGTAATAAATTAATCCCTTGGTTTAAGTTAGCAAGTGAGAAAAAGATGCTTAAATAAAGAGATTCACAGTAGCCAAGAAGTGGAAGCAGCTCAAATATGTGTTGACAGATGAATGGATAAACAAAATGGGGTTGCTGGGCGTGGTGGCACACACCTGTGATCCCAGCGACTCGGGAGGCTGAGGCAGGAGGATCACAAGTTCAAAGCCAGCCTCAGAACTTAGCAAGGCCCTAAGCAACTTGGCAAGACTGTGTCTCAAAATGAAATATAAAAAGGGCTGGGGATGGGGCTCAGTGGTGAAGCACTTGCCTCGCACGTATGAGGCTCCATCCTCAGCACCACATAAAAATAGATAAAATAAAGGTGTTGTGTCCATCTACAACTAAAAATATTTTTAAGGGGGGAGAAGGGGGCTGGGGATGTGGCTCAGTCATTAAGTGCCCAGGATCCAATCCCTGGTATCAAAAAGAAAGAAAGAAAGAAAAAGAAATGTGGTCTGGACACCTAGTGGGATATGGTTTCTCCTTTAGATGGAGGAGGACTCTAACGCATGCTACTCACAGATGAGACATTATGCTGGGAGAAACAAGCCAGTCACAAAAAGACAGATACTGCATGATTCCACTTCCATGAAACTAATGGTCAGATTCACAGAGACAGAAGGTAGGTTGCAGATTGGTGGCTGCTTAATGGATACAGAGTTTCTATTTGGGATGATGAAAGTCTTGGGAGCCCAAGAGTCCAAGTAGAACCAGGCAGCTGGAGATCCTGAAGACCACCCAAGCTCCGACAACCAACACACCACTAGACATTGAGAAGATCTGCTCTGAGGCACGAAGTTCATTTCCAAAACCCACACGTAGCACCAGGATTTCTTCCTTCACGTTGTGAATCATATAGGATGAGTTGCTGAATTACCTTGACTCAAACTTAAAATGCTTCCTCCATGACATTTCTCGTATGATTCAGCCTGCCTTCTGATGTATGTGCTTAAACAGGATGACTAACTCAGATTGATTATATAAAAAGATAGGTATACTTGATGTGCATATAAAAGCCGTTTAGTTTATCAAGGTAGCAACCAATATGCCGTTGACAAGTAAAAAACGTGTTTTACTTTAAGAGATAGTCAAGAAAGACGTTTATGTTCATTTTGGGTTATTTTAAGTAGCGTGTTTGCAAGTGAAACTTTCCCCTTAAAATCCCTGCACATTGGGCGGGGCCACGGTACTGGGGATTGAACTCAAGGGCACCCAACCACTGAGCCACATCCCCACCCTATTTTGTATTTTATTTAGAGACAGGGTCTAAGACAAGTTGCTTAGCACCTTGCTGTTGCTGAGGTTGGCTTTGAACTCACGATCCTCCTGCCTCAGCCTCCCGAGCCACTGGGATTATAGGTGTGCACCACCGCACCTGGCCTCCCTGCACTTAACAGAATGTCAAGCTTTATCAGAGACCAATGTTAGCAAACCACCTTGTGCCCTTTGACAATGAGTATCTTTAGACAATTTAATTTTGTCTGTGATCCCCACCGACTTACATTTACTTATTTATTTTTATGTAGTTAGTGTTGCAATACTACGGATTAAACTCAGTGCCTCACACAAGCTAGGCAGGTGCTCCACCACTGATGATGATGATGATGATGATGATGACTTTGAATTTTGAGACAGGATCTCCCTAAGTTGCCCAGGCTGACCTTGAACTTGCAACCCTCCTGCCTCGGCTTCCCAAGTCACGGGGGTTACAGGCGTGAGCCACCACATGGGGCCTTTGCACTTCCTAATATTCTTTCTTTACTTATTTGATTATTTATTTAGAGGTAGGTTCTTGGTTCATGGCCCAGACTGACCTCCAACTCCTTCCTGATAAATTTTATTCTTTAAACAATTATAATGTGCTGGGTGTGGTGGCTGTAATCCCAGCTACTCGGGAGGCTGATGAGGCGGGAAGATTGCAAGTTCAAGTCCAGCCTGAGCAACTTAGTGAGACCCTGTCTCAAAGTTTAAAAAAAAATAAAAAGGGTTGGAGAAATACCTCAGTGAGAGAGCACTGCTGGGTTCAATCCTCAGTACTGGAAAAGTGCAGATATATGAAAATGTAGCTTCCCGTTCGTCACAGCACTAAGCTGTTTTCTCTGCGAACGTCGGAGAGCTTTATTAAGCATTTCGAAGTCATCTTGGAAGGAGCCTCCTTAGTTCAACGTCACATACACCTGTAATGTGAATATTTCACAATTTTACTGAAGATCTTCATTTCATTCATGAGTTGACCTGGGGGCGGGATGGGATGTCCCGGACCCCTCCCAGCCCTCACACTCAGTGCTGCATGGTGTCATTTCAAGGACCAGCAGCCACCTCTGCTGCACAAGGCGGCAGCCCTGTCTCCAGCGCCACCTGCACTCTTCACAGAGCTGCAGAAAGCACGGGTTTCCTTGGGCCTCGGTAAATAAGGGAGATGCTTTCTGAAGAGAGTTCCAGTGACTGAGTGTTCCGTCTCTAAAGAGTCACCATCTGCCGTCCCCAGCTCTCTGGAAAGAGCACGGTAACCATGTCATCCTAGCAGGGAGCCGTGGGGAAGGGGAAGCGGCTCCTTCCATTTCCTGGCTCTGTGGACGGCTCCAGCCCTCTCCGCAGCCCACGCAGCCTACCCACCACCGGGGACATCTGGCTCCTGCCTTCTGCAAGACAGGGACCGGCTTTGAGGAGAGAACATGTTGTCCTGAGGGATCCAGGGAGTCCTGTTGGGCCGTCCTGTCGGGCTTTCCTGACTGCCCAGGCGGGGGCCAAGCAGTGGGGGGCCCCAACTTGAGCTTTCGGTCTGACTTATGTCCTTCCCAGTCTCCCCTGCGGGTCCCTGTCCCAGTTCTGAGGTATTTACACAGCGGTTCCACCCACAAAGCGTCCCCGTGATGGCCTTTCCTCTGTTTGGAAGCTGTGGATGGCCGGGTCCCAAGCTCTTCCTTTCTAAGACCCTTTTCAATAGGGGACAGAGTCCGCCTATCTGAGGATCAGGAGTCCAGGGTGGCCTTTGTGATGCCATTAGCACCCCACCCCTGTCCAATAAACAGTCCTCTGATGAATAATGGCCCTTCCTTTTCCTTCCCTGCATGTCCATCATCTGCTAATGAAGACGGTAAACATGGCACACACACACACACACACACACACACACACACACCTTCCCCAAATCCCAGGACTCAGTTTCAAAACACTTTCATAATTAAAGCCTTTTTGGCAAATGGCTACTTCTTGAACTTCATCTGATTTATTTTTTCCCCAGAGAGCCTTGAATCCCGCCTTAAGAGGAAATCTCCCCCCCAAATAGTGCTACTGAATCACCCACCCTTTGTGGCTCCTTTCTCCCCGTTAATCATGCGAGTCTTTACTTTTGCATGACCCAGGTGCCTGCAGCAAAATGACATCTCAAGTGTCTTTTTTTAGAAATTATTTATTTCAAACATTTACCATGTTCACTTTAAGTGCAAAATAGCGATAAAAGGAAAAAAGCGTTGAAAATCAAAATACACTGACATCAGCCTTTGGTATTGGTTTTCAGGTAATTAAGAGGGAAGTCCCTTAAAACGATGATCTATTTCTCTCCAAAAGCGATGCAGAGCTGAGGTATCGTGGTCAGCAGGCGTGGGCTCCTCCAGCGAGGTCTCTCGCTGTCCCAGTCCTTCCCTTCCAAAGCAGATCTCCATCTGAGCACATGTTCAGAAAACTGACAATGTTCCTTAACGATCATCAAGGTTGCCATGGGAACTCCCTGGAGCTGGCGCCCAGCCACACTAGGGACAGAGGCTGGAAGGACTTTTAGGGGACGCCTGGGAGTGCCTGGCCCAAAGCCGGAGGCAGCTGCTGGAGCCTTCTGGCCACAGCCCCATTGCAGGTTGCTGTTTGGAGAAGGACCGTTGGTGGCTCCGGTCTCCAAATGAGGACAGATTTGTCACCGTCTCCACCTGGAACTGGGGGTGGGACACCTTCCCAAGTGGGTCAATGTTAAGGACCTGCAATGGGACCAGACAGCGCCGGAGCAGCTGGGCAAGACATTCCGGAACAATCTTCAAGAGACTCACAAGCCATGGCCAGCCCCAGGCTGCCTGCTGGGCTCTACTCAGGACCACAGGGCTCCCAAACCAGTTCCCACAACGGAGCCCACGCCTTGCTCCTGAGACAGCGGGGAAGTGGTGGAGGCCCAGTGTGAGTTCAGGGTCCGGCAAACAAACGGCCAGGGGGAGACCCCATCAGAGCAAACCGCGGAGTCCCCCAAAGACCTTGTACGACACACATCCAATGTTTTTTTAAAAACATGTCATTAATGCTACAAGAACTGATGATCACTTTAGGTTAGACCTGGGTCCAGCATATTTTCGACTGGGCCCACCCAACAAGATGGGCTTCTAAATTCGTGCATCCCTCCTCCTTCAATGGTCCCTGTCCACACACTTCAACATCTGGCTGTGTGGCTGAGGGCGCAGGCCGTAGGTGAGTGTCGGCCCTGTTGAGGATCCAAGGCAGCCTGTGGACTGCAGGGACCTAAGGAAGAGTGATCCATGGGACTAGTGGACAGAGACACGTGTCCAGGAACCATTCAGACACAGAAAGCCTAAGGCAGGGGCCTGGCCACGAAGCAGACTCTGAGCCCAGAGAGGCCAGCCTTTCCTCCACTGGCACTAGCTTACAACAAGTAAAGGGGGGAACCCTCTGTGATACCGCCTCCCCCCAAAAGAAAAGGCAGTTCCGGTACAATAATAGTGAAAGCAATAACAATTTGGAGATCAAAGCTGCCTCGCTCTCAGAGACGATGAACTCTCTGGATCTCACGTCCCCCGCCAGCGGCCCTGCCTGGCTGTGGGCAGAACTGTGTGAGAGTTAAAGAGCCGTGGGCAGAGTCGCACTCTCTCATGCAGATCCTCATTCTAACATTTCCTTTCACAGCATTTTTGTGATTCAGAAACTCTTGTCAACCCCGTGGACCACCCGCCTAAGGCGGCAGGATGTGAGAGCCACCAGGGCTCGAGACAGTGACGCCCAGAACCCGGCGCTTGGCGAACACATGGGGGCTTCCACCCTTCGCCACGTGTCTGGTGGCGGTGGTGTTTTTCTAAAAGGGTAAACTTCTAGAAAAGCCTTGTGGTCTGGTAAATTCAGGGTCTGTGGCTCCACAGCTCGTTTTAATCACCGCTCTCCTCTGTGGTCACCTGTCTGGGTGACACTAACATCACTGAGTTCTCAAAGCCCCGACAGGAAAGTGAGCTGGTGGTTACGGGTGTCACGGCTGGACACCCATCGGCTGCTTCCATGGGAGCTGAGCCGAATCCAGTTCAAGGAACAAAACAAAAAGAGGAAGAAACCCAGGTAAGGGATTTATATTTTTAAAAAAATGAACCTCCCTTCTGAGTCTCAGTGGGGACTTTCTAGGACCTTGCCGGGTACTCGTGGGCGGCATCACAACAGGAAGGGGGACACCCTTTCTTTCCTAACCACCTAGGGGAGGGGCAGGGGGACAGTCACAAGTGACTTTTTCCCCAATTCAGAGAAGAGGCAGAGACTATTTTTACGGTTTGCAAGACAAAAACAAAATACAGAATGAAACCAGAATCTCTTCTCCATAAGGGAAACTTCTTCTCCTCCTCCTCCTTTTTTGAGTGGACTTGCTTTGGTGCTAAACAGAATCATCGTGCCCCGCCCCAAGTTATTTATAAACCGAAATCCAGAGAAGACTGAGGCTCCCAGAACCTCAAGAGAAAAGAGCAGGTTTTCGAAAACACGAAGCACATTCTTGCGGATTCGTTTTCCTTTCACACCGACACCGTCTACACTGATCACTCAGGTCCGGTCGGCACCCCAACCAACCAAGATGAAGTCAACTGGCTTGGCTCCCAGCACTGGCAGGGGGGAGAGGAAACTGGTTTCCAGAGGCTGGGGTCCCCCTCAGCTACAACAGGGGACCTTGAAGACCCTGTCCCTACTCCCCTCCTTCCTCTCTGCTTCTGTCCTCAAGCCCTGAGACCCCAACAGGGGGACAAAGTTGGCGCAGCTGCTTCTGTAGCCAGCAAAAGCCTAGGGTTATCATTCACATTGAGCACAACACTCGTGAGGAGCTGATTATGATTCCACTTAAACCATCGGCCCTGAGACTTATTCACCACCCCCTGCACACACACTCACACTCACACTCACACACCAGCTGCTTTTCAAGTGTGGGGGGAAGGCAGGAAAGAGCTCCCTCCCCAGCCTCAGTGGTTTGCACAAAGCCATCCTCAGTCCAGGAAACAGAATGGCAAAGGCACTTGGGTTTCCAGAGTCGGAGGGACAAGGTGCGACTGGGCAGGGGCAGGAGCCAGCCACCACGGCAGGCCTCCCGGAAGCCCCTGCCCCTGCCTGAGGGTTCGGCTGGCAGAGATGAGTCCGGGTGTGGGGGTGCCCGGCAGCTCCTCCACACCCTCGGTCCCATCGAGTCTTGGCGCGGCTCTCTTCACAGTGTCCTGAGTCGCTGAGACCCCCCGAAGCAGAGCGCTTGGGAAGAGCGGTTTGAAAGCTCAACCAGCTCTTCCTTCAGAACAGGTGCAGCAAGCCGATTTCCACCAGTCTAGAACCTTCTGCAGGCTCTTCCGTCACCGTGAAGCCAAATGCCCCACGCCCCTGAGATGAGCTGGAATGGCAGTGAGAAGCGTCTTTCCAGAGCCAGTGTGGGCTGCGTCACCCACACGATTCAGCACCTCTGTCACCCCGCTGCCAGGGGCCACCCAGACAGCTATCTGGCGAAGAAGTAGTCTCTGTTGCTGATGTCGTAAGGGCTCCGCGAGTCCCTGGCATCTGGTCGGCTGTGGCTCGAGGTGTTGTCTGAGCCGAGGCTGCTGGGGGACACAGGTGGGGAAAGGAGGGGAGCCAGCACAATGGTGGGCTTGGACTGCCCCAGGGAATACGGCGGGTGCACGCCCGTCTTGCACTCTTTCAGGGCCTGTGGCTTCCACGTCTTCTTGAACCTGCACACAAACACACAAAGACACATCACACCCATGTGACGGTCCCCTGCGATGAACCCAACAGCTGGTGGCCCTGGAGGTCTGGAGCGCCCAGGCTCGGCTCCAAGGCGTGATGATGATTCATCCCATCAGCAGCTGGTCTCAAACCCCAGAGATTCCGCCAGCCTCCGGAGAGCGGCTGAGTTCCCCAAGCATCCCAAGAAGGGAGGTCTCCACGGCTAGGCAAAAGGGGGACTGAGGCAGGCAGGGTTGTCCTGGTGGAGCACCAGCAAGTCCCTGCTAATCCCTCAATTTGTCCTGTCCCACAGGCTATCCATCGTCAGTCCCCAGTCCATTTATTTTTGAAAAGGGAAACATCAAGACATGGTGGATCATGCCCGTGATCCTAATGAATCAAGAGGCCGAGGCAGAAGGACCCCAGGTTCTAGGCCAGTCCGGGCCACTTAACAAGACCCTGTCTCAAAACAAAAAGTAAAAAGAGCTGGGGATGTGGCCCAGTGATAGGGCACCCCCGGGGCTCAATCCCCAGGACTAAAAAACAAAACAGCAACGTCTTCTTTTAGAGGGAAGGAAAATGGGCCTCCTTCAAATCAAGGCCAGCCCGAAGACCACGTGCAACCACCATTCAGTGGCCCTTGGTGACACTCCTGTCCCTGACATTCCCATTCCCCCCAACTCTCCCTGAGCCTCTGGTCCGTCCCACCCAACCAGCGAGAGTGCCCACCCTCACGCTGTGGGCACACGGGCACAGGTTGACTCATCCGACAGGAAAGTCGGTGCTAAACAGGAAGGAGATAGACATCTATCTCTCTGATCACAGCCTTGCTCACGGGGCTCCACACTGGGCCCAAAGCCAGGCTCAGCAACGGAGAGAAGTCACTTGACAATCAGAGAAAGAGGAGATGGTGACATTGATCTTCAAAGGTGCAGCCGGTCTCCTTCCTGAAGGGGCCCTTCACCCGCGCCCAGGCAGCCGGGTCTCTTCTCCCCCGTCTCCTGACCACCTTGTGGCTGACTTGTCCCCAGAGTGGGAGAAAGATGGCCTCCCTGAGTCCAGCACATATCAGTGGCTCCAGGAGGCACCACGGGGAGGAAGGGAAACCAACATCAAAAACAAAATTTGGGCATTTTCCTTGGCTTCTTTTTATATCAGCAGGCTATTCCTGTCCTTGTGAGGATAGATAATTGATAGTTGGCTCCAAGTCTGCCTTTGGCTCTGAGCCCACTGACCAAATGGAATAAACAACCTCAGAATGTGACTTAGGGCTTCGCCACTTGGGCCCCACACAGGAAGAGCCCAGCGGGGTGCTTATTGAAGTTTTGCTGAGTCCTTGAGTGGAATTCTCCTCCCCTGTGAGAAGATAGAGGACAGATTCTTTATACTCTGGATTGCAAAATATTCAGACCCTCTGACTAAGGAATTCCTCTTCTGGGAATAACAGAGTTATGGAGAAGCTTATGGCACAAAGATGTCCAGCACAGTGTTGTTTATAAAAGCAGAACAACATCCAACTGCCCAATAATAGGAGACTGGTTTAGTGAACTTGGGTATTAATCCCGGATAGAGGGATCTGCAGCTAATGAAAGTGAGTTTGCAAAGGATTTGTAAATACATGGAAAAAAAATGCTTATATTAGAATGCTAAATTTAAAAGGTAGGAGCAGGGCACAGTGGCACATACCTGTAATCCCAGCAGCTCTGGAGGCTGAGACAGGAGGATTGTGAGTTCAAAGCCAGCCTCAGCAATGGCGAGGCCCTAAGCAACTCAGTGAGAATCTGTCACTAAATAAAATAGGGCTGGGGATGTGGCTCAGTGGTTGAGTTCAATCCCCCTATACCAACCAACCAACCAACCAACAAACAAAAATAACCAGTTCTGTATCTAAAAGAAGTTTTGTTTGTTTCTGGTACTGGGGATTAAACCCAGGGGCATTTGATCACTGAGCCACATCCCCAGCCCTTTTTATTTTTTATTTGGAGACAGGGTCTCACTGAGTTTCTCAGGGCCTTGCTAAGTTGCTGAGGCTGGCTTTGAACTCACGATCCTCCTGCCTCAGCCTCCCAAGCTGCTGGGATTACAGGCGTGGGCCTCCGTGCCCAGCTCAGCGGCTCTGTTGGCAGCTGTGGTCACCTACCCAGTCTGCCCTCCGCATTAGACAGCCTCCACCCTATCGGCCTCTGTCCTGCAGCGCTGAATCAGGGTAGCCTCCTAGTGGGCGCTCTGTGTGCTGGAGGTGCCTTCATTCGCTGAATGAATGAATAAATGGATGAGCAAATGCTCCCAGATGGTGTGTGTGTGTGGAAATGGGATTGAACCCAGGGCACCTGACCTCTGAGCTGTATCCCCAGCCTCTTTTTAATTTTTTTAAAATAATCATTTCGATCCCAGCAGCTTGGGAGGCTGAGGCAGGAAGATCACAAGTTCAAAGCCAGTCTCAGAAACTGAGCAAGGCCCTAAGCCACTTAGATTTTTTTATGTGGATTCAGGATCTTTCTAAGTCACCACGGCGAGCCTCGAACTCGCAATCCTCCTGCCTCCCCGGGTCTCCTGAGTCACTGGGATCACAGGGGTGCACCACCACGCCCGCCAGCCGGAGGCCTCCAAGACCCCAAAGCGCTTCTCACTGCAGGCTCTGTGTGTGTGTGCACATGTGTCTGTCTGTGTGCACACGCTGCTGGGCTAGAACCCAGGGCACGGTGCTCCCCAGGCCAGGGCTCTACACCAAGCCCCGTCCCCAGCCCCTGTACATTTGGTGGTTCCGGGGTGAAGGGCAGCTACATACGACACACAGGACGTCACAGAGACCCCCGCCCATCTCACCTGAGGATGATGCCGACGCACAGCAGCGAGCCGAAGGCCAGGCTTCCCCCAGCTACCAGGAACGTGGGCAGCGGGACGGGCAGAGAATCTTGCCCTGGAGAAGAAGAAAAAGGGTTGGGCTGGGGCGAAGTTCAGGGGGAGAGGCTGCCTCGCACGACAGGCCCTGCTCAGGCCCCAGAGCCACAAAAAAAGGAGGAGACACAGGAGGAACAGGAGGCCACGTGGCCCCGCTCCGCCCAGTGGGCACAGGTCGCCCCCTTCTCGCCCCCCCCGGGCTGCAGCCCTGTGCGGCCCAGGCCCTACCTGACCAGTAGGTCTCAGACTAGATGAGGTCACTTCCTTTGAGAAGGGACCCCCACTCAAGCTGAGTGTCCCCCCGGGTACCCCAGTCCCTCCAAGCTGGCTGTCTGGCCAGAGGAGGCCGGGTGCCTCGGCCCGGCTCCCAGCGGCTCCCGTGGCCTGCTCCAAAGCAGCTCTCAAAACGTGTCACTGAATGAAGGAAAGGACAATCAGCTTCATAATAACTGCCCCAGAAAGACCCTTCCTACGAGTGCCAGAGACCCCGGACCGGCCAGAGGGACACCTAAGCAAAGCCACCACTGTCCCACTGGGAAGGCAGGAGCCCCAGCCGGGTGGACCCAGGACCTAGGCCTCCGACGAATGCTGCCCACTGTTGGTGTTGATGCCACCCAGGGCCAGGCACTGCCCAGCAGCCTGACCGGTGAGCGTTCACGGACCTCAAAGACAGGTCCCTCGGGGCGCACCCCACACCTTGACAGGAAGAGCAGACGCCTGCTGCTCATGATCACTACTTCGTCATCTGTCACCATCCCCCTCCCTCATTCAGTAAAGTCTGGAGGGTCCCGTGGCCAGGCTTGGCCCTAAGTCTCCAGGACACAGAAAGGCATGACGGAGAAGACCCTCCCCCTGGACACTACAGTGTGGTTGAGGGAGGCAGACTAACAGGTCACGTGCAAGGTGACGTTAGCGGTGGCCACGGCGATGATGACAAGCGAACCACAGGCCTGGCACAGTGGCCCACGCCTGGAACCCCAGCGGCTCTCGAGGCCGAGGCAGGAGGATCGTGAGTTCAAAGCCAGCCTCAGCAACTCAGCGAGGCCCTAAGCAACTCAGTGAGACCCTGTCTCTAAATAAACTATGAAAAAGGGGCTGGAGATGGGGAGGTTGCCTTGTGGTTAGTGCCTCTGGGTTCAATCCCCACTACCAAAAAGAAAAAAGAAAAGCAAACCCAGGAAGGGAAGAGAGTCTCCGTGGGAGAGGGGACCTCTGTCATACATGAGGGTCAGGAACGGGCTCTCTGAGAAGGGAGCCTTTGAGCAGAAACCTGGGTGGTAGGAAGGAGCTGGTCAAGTGGAGGGTGGAAGAAGAGCATCCAGACAGAGGAACAAGCAGGTGCAAAGGCCCTGAGGTGGGGAAGCAGAGGGAGAGGGAAGATGGAGGAGCTGAAGTCTGTGCCGTCCCAGCTGCGCAGAGCTCAGCCCCGGGTCCAGTAGCTCCTCCAGGTGCGCTGCGCACACTGGGCCGTCCACCTGGAAGGAGCCAGCCAGGCGGGGACATCGGACCCAGGACCTCCTCGGACAGCCCGGGAGTCATCCAAGGAACTGCCCAGCCTCTGACTCTGGGGCCAGGACCCCGGAGTCCCACACATTTAGTCCAACGCACAGGACCCGCGGCCTTTCTTGTTTCCCAGACCTGAAGGTGTGGGGAGCGGGGGCTGAAAGGCAAGGTTCTCAGGACAAAGACCCCCCCCCCCCCGTCTGCATGCCATTTCTGACTCCAGGAACCTGGTGGGTGGCACACGCATTTGTACCCTGGGCCAACTGTGAAATAATTCACTGCTTCCTCCCTTCTGTGCATGGTCCCCTCACTAAGTTTTAGCTAACCACGTCACACTTGAACGAATCAGGTAATTAAATATTTCTGCCATTTTATCCTCTGCCAAGTATCCAAGTAAGAAAAGATTTTATGCAAAGAGTCTCGTGTCCACCAGATCAGAGGAAGACAAAGATAGCCAATCCTGCCGGGAGCAGTAGCACAGGCCTGTAACCCCAGTGACTTGGGAGGCTGAGGTAGGAGGACTGCAAGTTTGGGGCCAGCCTCAGCAAGTTACCAAGACCTCATCTCAAAATAAAAAGGGCTGGAGATGTGACTCAGTGGTAATCCCCAGCACGCGCGCACACACACACACACACTCGTCCCCAGTCCTGACCTGGGAGGCTGGTTGCTTTTTCAGAAATCTTCCTTCGGCCTTCCTCCTGCTCCCCTTCATCAGTAGTAGGCACCTGGGAGAGACATGCCACGTTACAGGCCCATTTCTCTGGATTCCAACATCATCCAGACCCAGTTTGGGCGCCACCTTCTCAAAGACCTCCCTGGGCCACCCGGGCTTCCCTTTCTCTGTCTCGTGACCTCCCCGGTCCTGGGGGTGTGTCACCTCCAACTCTTTCACTGTGACACGATTCCTGGTGTCTCCTGTTTCAGGCAGGGATTCCGCTCCCTCTGCCTCCCTCCCCAGAGTGGAAGGCACAGCCCCCTGCGCAGAGGAGACGCTCCACAGACACCCAAAGCAGCAACCGTCCTTACAGCCTGGTGCCAGGGGTAGGGGCCGCTGCCCACTGGGAAACGCCTGGCCGGGAATCCTGGCTGCCACGGGCCAGCTGTGTGACCCTGGGCAGATTCCTTAACCCGCCTGGTCTCGGTTCGGCTCCCTTCTAGGGTCACTATGAGAATCCAACACCATAAGGAAGGTGCGGCTCAGAGTGAAGCAGGACGGGGCCAGGTCTCCAGTCGGCCTCGCTCCCCTGGGACCTGCACTGGGGGAGCCCGGCCCCCAGCTATGGGCTTCCCCTGCAGCGGGTCACAGAGGTGCTCCTGGGCTCCTTCCCCGCGCTGCCCAGATCCAGGAGTGGCTGAGGCCCCCCGGCTTAGCGTTTAGGGGATTGGAGGCCCCGGGAGGAACAGCGGTGAGGCTGAGGGAAATTGGATTACTCTAAGACCTGGTTAAGCAGCTTTGGGGGAAAGCCTCTTCCAGCCAGTTATGACACCAGGAGCCCGAGGGAGGGACGGGATGATCTGAACTGTGTCTCAGGCTAAGCAGCTGGTGGTGCCCAAGAAGCTCAGAGAGAAACGAGTGGCCACTGGACTCAGGCATTTCCTGTGCCGGGCGAGGCGGCCCTGGCCCTTCCAGCCCCGGGACATGGAATCGCTGTCCCTGCACAGAGACTTGGAGAGGGCAGAAACCGGCACAGCAGCACTTCTAGGAAGAGGCAGAGCTGGGCTTCAAATTCCCTCTGCAAACCGCCAGGTGCTGCTGCCCTGACTCTCACAGGAACCCGAGCTCACCTCCACGGAGGGGGACGCAGAGGTCACAGCTGGTACACTCCTGGACTCTGCAGACAGAGGGCAGAGGGAAGGGCTGTCGTTAGTGACTGTGGGCCCTGGAGTGCTGACCGATGGCTCCAGAAGTAGAATAAAGATCATCACAATGTTATTTAAAAACACGTAACAGGGGCCGGGTGTGGTGGCCCACGCCTGTCATCCCAGCAGCTCGGGAGGCTGAGGCCAGAGGATCTCAAGTTCAAAGCCAGCCTCAGCAACTTAGCGAGGCCCTCAGCAACTCAGTGAGACCCTGTCTCTAAATAAAAAGTATAAAAAGGGCTGGGGATGGGGCTCGGTGGTTGAGTGCCCCTGGGTTCAATCCCTGGTGCAATAAATAAATAAGTAAAAGAGCATAACAGGACCTGGGACGCAGTTCAGAGGCAGAGAGGCCCGGGTTCAATCCCAACCACCAAGAGCAAAAGAAACGAATAAAGGAGCCTGACACGGGAAGTCACCAAATATCCAGCCCTAAGGGACAAGCTGTACGATTATGATAGAGACACACAATGTCATAACCTGTACATAATGCCTACATGTGTCAAAATGTTACACTGTTCCCCATCCATAGACCCGACTCTTCTGTCGATTTCAATGATGAATAAAATAAGGAGCTGGGTACAAAGCCAAACTCCTACACTCTCAGTAACTTGGGAAGGATCAGATGTCGGAGGCCAGCCTCCGCAACTTAGTGAGAGCTTGTCTCAAAATAAAAAATAAAAAGGGGTGGGGATGTGGTTCAGTGGTAGAGCAGCCCTGGGTTCACTCCCCAGTACAGCAAAAAATAAAATAAGGGAAGAGGATGTGGTCAGCACTTTCCTAGTGTGTGCAAGGCCCTGTGTGTTTGATTCCCCAGCACCCCAAGAACATAAAAATAAAGATAAGGAGGCTGAGGCAGGGGGATGGCACGTTCAAAGCCAGCCTCAGCAACTTAGCAAGGCTCTAAGCAACTCAGGGAGACCCCACCTCCAAATAGAATATTAAAAAGAAGTGCCGCGGACGTGACTTAGCGGTTAAGCACCCCTGGGTTCAATGCACTAAAAATTGAAACATGATAAATAAAACTTCAAAATATATATTTTATAAAAAATGTTGATGATATGACATAATGTATGAAAAAATGCAAGACAAGAAAAAAGTCCTATAGTTGGATCAAAACTTGTTTTGTTGTTATTGTTCTTAGAGATACTAGGAAATGAGCCCAGGGTGCTTTACCAATGAGCTACACCTCCAGCCCTTTAAAAAAAAAAAAAAAAAAAAAAAAAAAAAAATATATATATATATATATATATATATATATATATATATATATATATATATATTTTAGTTGTAGGTGGACACCATGCCTTTATTTTATTTTTATGTGGTGTGGAGGATTAAACCCAGTGCCTCCCGCGTGCTACCGGAGTGCTCTACTACTGAGTCACAACCCCACCCCATCCTGCTCTTTTTTGAGATAAGATCTTGCTAAGTTGCAGAGGCTGGCCTCAAACTTGAGATCCTTCTGCCTCAGCCTCCCCAGGTGCTGGGATTACAGGCGTGCACCACCTCGCCCAGCTCTGAAAGTCTCTAAAGAAACACATTTATATTATCATCTACTGTACATGACACTAAATATGACCTATATTCATACACAGAAAGAATGGTCCACATCAGCAGACATAAGCACTATTAGCATTTGAACTTCCTTCCACACACCTTTTTTCAATAAAAGAGAATCACATGATCAGTGGGTCTTGTTGGCCTGCGTGGCCGAGCCCGGCTGGCGGGAGGCAGGAGGTGGACAGGTCCCCCTCCCAAGGCCACCCGCCCCTGGGAACTGTGTTTCTGGAGAAATCACTAATCAAAGTCAGACCCGGACAGGAGGCCAGGCCCGGCGGCATCGGGCCCCGGGGACCAGGCGCTGGACCTCAGCCAGCCCGGGGTGGGATGCTTTGGATTTCAAAGTATTTTCTTGTCAGCCGTCATTTTTCCATGGAGTGATCAGAGCACCAGAGAAATGGTGCACACCAGGAAGACAGCCCCCTGACCCAGGGGTAGACAAGAGGGGGTCAGCCAGGACGGGAGGAGAAGGTGACCCTGTTTCTGCTCCAGAGAGACTTCCCAGCGTGACTGTGACATCGCATCATAAATCAAGGTCATTTCTGGTCAGGGCAGCGGCTGCATCCAGCAAGACCCCGTCTCAAAACGAGAAGGGCTGGGGCGCAGCTCGGCGGGAGCACCCTTGGGGTCAACCCCCAGGACCAGAAAGACAGGTGGTGGCTTCTGTCTGCCCCGTATTCATAGTTCCAAGTTTTCTATATTTTATATTCAAAACAAAATGAATTCTTGAATAAAATGAACGAGTGGACGAATGGCCTTATTCCAGTGAGATTAACTGGGTGGTCAGCAAGGCTGTCCCAGAGGCCTCTACACCAGGCTCAGGGGAGAGCCACAGGAGCCACGGGTGGTGTCTGGGAGGTGACAGTCTTGTGACTTAGAAACGGCATGGAGGACGCACAGTGCTTGAACACAAAAGCAGGAGACGGGTTTGGAGGGTCAACGGTCAGGTTCTGCTGAGGTGGGACAGCAGCTGACCCAGGTAGGTGGTCTGGCTCCCAGCTCTGGAGCTGGGTGGGTCGCGGCGTCCGTCCCCAGACAGGAAGGCCCAGAGGTTTGGGAGCCACCGTGACGCCTCTGGCTTGGGTGGAGCCGAGCACCTGTTGCAGAGAGAGGCCCGCACAGGTGTCTGGGCCAGCTGACCACGAGTCCTGCTCTGTGCCCACTGCTTCCCCATCATGGAGGCCTCCCAACCCCACAAGGGAGGCACTGGGTGGGGGGTGTCTTGAGGCAAGCCTCACCACCCCCACTTGACAGATGAGCGACCCGGGGCTTGGTTAGGGACTCCCCCCAGGTCAGGCTGGTCCTAGGAGCAGGGTCAGCAGCTGGACCCAAGTCTGTCTCCCTGCAGACCAGTGCTCTGCCCCAGGTAGGCAGGGTGGTGGGTCAGCACGCCCAGCAGGACGGGCAGGTCCAAGGACACGCGGGAGACAGGACCAAGCACCAGGCACAGTGACACCGGCCTGTGGCCACAGCCACTGGGGAGGCTGAGGAGGAAGAGTCGAGTTTGAGGCTAGTGTGACGATTTAATAAGACCCCGTCTCAAAATAGAGTTTTCCAGAAAGGGCTGGGCTGCCGTACAGCTCCCTGGGTTTGACCCCCAGTACGAGAGAGAGAGAGAGAGAGAGAGAGAGAGAGAGAGAGAGACACACACACACACACACACACACACACGGAGAGAGGGAGAGAGAGAGAGGAAGAGGGAGGGAAGGAGGGAGGGAGGGAGGGGACCTGGAAGGAAAGAGCCCAGATGGAGGAGTGTGGGGAGCCGCATCAGTGAACAGGACAAGATCTCTGCAGAAATGTGTGACCAAGCTCTCTTGATTGGCAGCCTGTCCCACCTGGTGCTGAGGAGAGGAACAAATGAGGTCCCCTGAATGGGATGGCCCAGGTGGGGAGAAGGTCCCACAGCTGCAGGTCCAAGCCAGGGGACCTAACGGCCTGCAGCTCCCTGGCCTGGCCTCAGGCCACCCACACGGGTGACAAAGGCAAAACCCCACCTTCTCTATGGGGTATGGCCCCCGTTCTTGGGGACTGGGAGGGACAGAGTTAAAGGGATTTTCAAACAGAAAAAAGAAGACCCACCCCCCTCTGCCTGACAGAGTTTCCCTAGTTGAACAGGGTCCTGGGGACCCAGACTGGACGTCCCTGACGTCAGGGAGAGGAGAGGGTGCAGGTGGGCGGACTCCCACTTGGGAGGGAGCTGCCGGGTCACAGGTGGCCTCTGCTCCCCGGGGTCAAGGGCCCCAAGAGCGTCTCCAAGAGCCACTACTGCAGGGGCTGACAGCAGTGTCCTGACCTTGATGGCCAAAGCAAGGGCCCTAAGACAGGGTGACGGTACCTGTCCCATGGGGGGAGGGGGGCATGTACACGTGCACAGGAGCATGCGCGCGTGCACACACACACACACACACACACACGAGGCCCACTCGTCCCCACAAACACACCTTGGTGCAGACGCTGCACCTTGGTGCCCCCAGCACCTGTGAAGTCCAGGCCCTGCGCCCCTCCTCCACCTCCGGCTCCTACACAGCTTCCCCCAGGGCGAGGCCAAGGCCGGCCTCTCCTCCTCCATGCAGATCCTCCGGGCCAGCATCCTTTTTGTCTGGGCTTTCAGTGTTGAAGGTCCTTGGTATCAGGAAGCCGGGTGATAGAGTCCCTGGAGCACTGACATGTCCCTAACAGTCACACCGCGCCACGGCAGGAGAACACGCCTCACCTGGTCTCCCAACCTCCTTCTCACTTTCCCCAACCTGCCCCCATTCCTACCCTACGTCCCCTTGGTCTCATCCTCCGTCCGTGGATAGGGCGCTGCAGGTCTCTCTCCTGCATAAATTCATCGAGGGGGGTGGGGGGTGGGGGGGTGAGGATGCCATCCACCCGCAGGACAGGAGCTCAACTCTCCAGCTGCTCAGGAGGAGGAACCAGATTCTCTGAGCTCGTGGGGTCACTCCAGCACATGAGCTAAGGCTGGAAAGTCCAAGACAGTCCCCAGAGCTGCCCAGATGGCCCCTGCTAGAGCGTCTTCCACAGAAGAGAGGATGCCAACAATTTAAAGAGATACGGCCACAAATGAGACCAGATTCAGGGGCAGGTGGCGAGCCAAGTGAGAAACTCCAAACCACCCCATGCAGCCGCCTGGCAAGAGGAGTGCAAGCAGATCTTAGTCTTCTGAGAACTCCAGAAGAATTCAGAGAGCAGGCTGGGCTCAGAGGAGCCCAGGGGACAGAGCAAGGCCAGCGCTGGCCCACATATGAAGACCTTCTAAATTGGGAGTGACGGCGCACACTTATGATCTCAGAGACTTGGGAGGCTGAGGAAGGAGGATTGCGAGTTCAAGGCCAGCCTCAGCAATTTAGCAAGCAACTCAGTGAGACCCTGTCTCTAAATAAAACACAAAATAGGGCTGGGGACGTGGCTCAGTGGTGAAGTGCCCCTGGGTTCAATTCTTGGTACCAAAGATGAAAACTAAGTGGGCTCCTGTAATCACAGCTACTGGAGAGGCTGAGGCAGGAAGATCGCTTAAGCCCAGGAATCTGAGACTCTGTCTCAAAAAGAGAGATAAAGAAAGGAAGGGAGAGGGGAGGGGAGGGTCCAAAGGCAAAGAAGTTAACTAGTGTCAGGGGAGGGGTGGGTCAGTGCACTCCATAGTGAACATGAAAGGGAGCAGCCCAGACAGAAGTTCCTCAAAAAATTAAAAATAGAATTGCCACGTGACACAGAAATTCCACTTCTGGGTGTCGACTCAAAAGAACCGAAAGCAGGAACTCCAACAGCTCTGTACGGCCTTGTCCACGGCAGCGTCATTCACAAAGCCAAGACAGAAGAGCCCAAGTGTCCCAGGACAGGGGAACGAGGACACCAGAGACGTGATTCTGCACAACAGCCCACCACCGCCTTCCAGAGGAGAGTCTGACCCAGGCTGCCACGTGGGTGGGCCCTGAAGACAAGTCACAGGCAGCGAAATGAGCCGGGCACCAAAGGACACGTCCCCGTGTGGCTCCACCTGTTTGAAGCACCCTGTCTCAAAACAAAAGGAATGATCTGGAGTCGTCACAGTCAGGGACAGAGAGCAGAGTGTCAGGGGCTGCCAGGGGCTGGGGCAGGGATGGGAGAATGGGGAATTATCCTGTGGAGGGACAGAGTTCCGGTTTTGCAAGATAAGAACGTTCTGGAGGTGCACGGCGGTGATGCTGGCACCACACTGCGCCTGAACTTAAAGCCACAAAGATGCACACTTGAAACCGTCACAGTAGCAGACTTCACGTCGGGCACACTTTACCACCATCAATCAATAGCTATTAAATCAGGACTTTTTTCTTTTCTTTCTTTTTTAAAGACAGTAGTGGGAATTGACTCCTTGGGTGCTCTACCACTGAGCTACATACATCCCCAGCCCTTTTTATTTTAAGACAGGGTCTCAATAGATTGCTGAAGGCCTTCCTAACTTTCCCAGAATGGCCTTGGATTTATGATCCTCCTGCCTCAGGCTCCAGAGTTGCTGGGATCAGCGGCGTGCCTGTGGTGCCTGTCTGGCCTTATTCTTTTAATTGCTAAGTAACTTAGAATGACTAATTGAGTGGGCGTGGTGCAGGCCTGTAATCCCAGCAAGTTAGGAGGCTGAGGCAGGAGGATCCCAAGTTCAAGTCCAGCCCCAGCCATTTAGCAAGACCCTGTCTCAAAAATTTAAAAAACAGGCTGGGGATGTGGCTCAGTGGTTAAGCACCCCTGGGTCTCCAGTACCAACAAAGAGAAAAAGAATGAATGACTAATTTGATTCGACTGTGCTGCAGGGTTAGAAACAAATCGAGCCTGGAAGGTGTTCCACAAGAAGAATGCTGGGGGGGGGGGGCGAGCTCTTTATCTCTGGAAGCTTCAAAGAGAGGCCAGCTGACCAGGGTGTGGTCAGGGAGACACCTGCATTCTAGGTTTGCTAGATAAAGTCTCCAGTGGTTTTATCAGGGGGAAAAGTCACTCATCTGGGCTTGTCCTTTAGAGTTAAGGAGGGGGAAAGGAAAGAAGTAAAAAAGAAAGAGTTACGGGGCACCAGCAGAAGACCTAGAAACAGAGTCGAGCGGTTTCCTCCAGAAAGCAGGACCAGCAACGGTGGGCACGGGCCTCTGCTGGGTATTCTGGAGGTCTTGCTGCTGTTGTTGTTTTGGTCCTGGGGACTGAAACCAGGCACTGTCCACTAAGTGACATCTCCAGTCTTTTTTTTTTTTTTTAATTTTTTATTTTGAGACAGGGCCTCACTAAGTTGCTGAGGCTGGCCTCAAACTTGCAGACCTCCTGCCTCAACTTCTCAAGCCTTCTGTATTAATTTGATACAAATTTTTGATTTTTTCTTTTTATAAAAACCTCCAAACTGGGCACAGTAGTACATGCCTTTAATCCTAGCAACTCAGGAAGTGGTTAAGCACCCCCCGGTGTTCAACCCCCAGTCCCAACACAAACAAAACACCTCCCGTGGGGATTAAAAAAAAATTGATCATGCAGTTAGCAAATAGTACATTTTCAAAAAATTTTGATAACATACTGGGTACAGTGGCCCACGTCTATAATCCCAGCAGCTCAGGAGGCTGAGGCAGGAGGATTGCAAATTCAAGGCCAGCCTCAGCAACTTAGCGAGGCCCTAAGCAACTCAGGGAGACCCTGTCTCTAAATGAAATATAAAAGGGGCTAGGGATGTGGCTCAGTGGTTAAGCGCCCCTGAGTTCAATCCCCAGTAACAAAGAGGGAAAAGAAAAAAAAACTGGAAAAATAAAACATTTGAAGCTAGGCAGGAAATCTGTTTATAAGACTTCAAATTCAGAGACAGAAAGTAGAATGGTGGGAGGGTATTACTGGGGATGACCCCAGGAGCACTCTACCAGGGAGCTACATCCCCAGCCCTTTTCTTTGTTTTTTGGGTTTTTTCTTGGTTGGTTGGTTGGTTGGTCCTGGGGATTAAACTCAGGAGCACCAAGCCACATCCCCAGGACCACTGATCCTCCTGCCTCAGCCTCCCAAGCCTCTGAGATTAGGGTGGGCGCCACCGAACCCGGCCCCAGCCCTTTTTATTTTTTTACTTTGAGACAAGGCCTTGCTGAGTTGCTTAGAGCCTTGCTAAATGGCTCACTCAAACTTGCAATCCTCCTGCCTCAGCCTCCCGAGTCACCGGGATCACAGGTTTTACACACCATCTGGCACAATATTTTATATATATAATAATACATATAATATGTAAATTCACTCACATAAATGTAATTTTTAAAAACTAAAATATGCCCACTGGTTTTTGCTAAGGGAAGATACTGTTAATAGTTATTCTCTTCGTATTTTTCTAGAATTTCTTATCACTAACGTGTCAATTTCAATAATCCACCCCAAAGCAATGATGATTACTTTTATCACCTTTTTAAAAATAAAAAGCATTAGTAACTGCGGTGGAGTCAACATGTGTACGACCCTTTGAGCTCCTCTCTCTCTCTCTCGGCCGCTCCGGGAGTCCCTGTCCCCAGCCTGGGTGGCCTCGGGGAAGGGGTGGGGAAGACCAGGGCCCGGCCAGCCCCGCCCCCAGCCACGGGCGGGTCCACCCTGGCCCTTGCAGACCTCATGGCAAGACCAGCAGATAAATGGTTGCTGTTTCGGGCACCAGCTTTGGGGTGGCCTGCCTTAGAGCACCACATTGCTGATCCACTAACAGAAGCACCACCACCCCCCGCCCCCCCGCCTTCCCTCCACGCCCGCGAGGTACCTGTCCACGGAACCCCTGTGACCTCGGGGCTCCACTCACTCCAGGAGCCGAGTCCAAACTCCTCCTGGGCCCGAAGCTGCACCGTGTGCCTCGAGCCGCGCCAGGCGTCGTGGATGATGCAGTGATACTGGGAATTCCTGACCTAAGGGCGGGAGGCACAGCGACTGCGATCCTGACGGCCCTCCCTGATTGCCCGGAGCCCGAGTCCCGGCCACCCTGTGTACCCTTCTTGCCAACCAGCTGCGAAGGGACACCCAGCGTCACGACTCCCACTTCCTAAATGAGACGGCCGAGACCCGTCCAGGCCGCACGGGGAGCTGGCAAGCAGGCCCTGGAAGGTCACTCCTTCTCCTTCACGTCCTTTTCAGGACCCTCAAGTGTCTGCAGCGCTTTCCTGTGTAGAAACAGTGGGTGAACTCACCATCCACGTGGTGAAGGCCTTTGAGTGCTCGGCCCTGTACCGGAGTTCGAACTGCAGTCTGTAGAAGTCGGAGTTCCAGGAGAGGGGGTCTTCCCAGGTGACATTGAGCCAGCGGGGGTTTTCGGCCACAGCAGTGACCATGATGTTGCTGGGCGGATCAGGCCGCACTGTGAGAGGGAACGTGGCTTCTGTGGGGCGGCAGGAGCCCTGCCCCAGACCAGGCCACCCCATGCCCATCTTTTTATTTATTTGCCCTCCTCCCCCATACTAGGGATCAAACCCAGAGCCTCGCACACACTAGGCAAGCGCTCTGCCACTAAGCCACACGCTCAGCCCCACACACGCGTCTTGAAAGCACCCTCATCCGTCAGTGCCCAAAAGGGCTCCAGCTAGCCAAACCCCTCAACCGCTCCTTCCCTGCCCCTCCAAGGAGTGGATGAGAAATATTAAGTCAAGGGCCAGGCAGAGCGGTGCAAGCCTGTAATCCCAGTGACGTGGGAGGCTGAAGCAGGAGGATCAAAATTTGGAGGCCAGCCTTAGCCATTTAGTGAGGCCTGAAGCAACTTGGCCGGACCCTGTCTCAAAATTGTAAAAAAGGTCTGGGGTTGTGGCTCAGTGATTAAGCATCCCTAGGTCCAAAAAGCACCAAAAAGAAAAAGAAATATTATGTCAAAAGAGAAAAAAAAATACTTGTGGGGCTGGGGAGAGGAGAGCTCACTTACGGATTCCATATCCCTCAAATGCCTCCGGGTCGCTGGACCTGCTCCCGGCACTGCTGGCCGCGCACAAGGACACTATGTGGAAGGACTTGTCCCCCTCTGGAATCTCCAGCTGGCAGGAGAACTTCTGCGAGTCCTGAGAATACTGGCACGGCACCCGGAAGTCTTCCGCTGGGACTTTCTTGCTGTTGGTCACAAAACAAAGGGGGGGGGCTGCTACCGTTTCTGTGCTTCCTCTAGAGGGGAAGAAGGACCGGGCCGGGTCAGACACTCAGGCTCTGAGTCGGATCCCAGGGCTTGGATCCCAGCTCCGGGTCATCTGCTCTCGTCAGCGTTCGTGACTCCGAGTGAGTCCTGCAACCAGGCTCGAGGTTCTGCGCTGTCATTTGAAAATGGGACTATTCACAGCCCCACCTCACAGGGACAATGGACCAACGTGGCTAGGACACCTGGCTCGGCCCCTGGCACGGCAGGAGGTGCTGGAGGAGGGACTCAGCTGTCACTGAGGCATCAGGGGCCCCGAGCGCTGGCGCTGGGGCAGGATCCGTGCTCCTGGCCCCACGGGGGACACAGACTCGCAGAGGCAGAGAGGCCGAGCCTCTGACCTGGTGTCAGGGCAATGACAAAAATGATCTGCCCTCGAGGACGAGGACGAAGCACCCGGGGAGATGCTGGGTGTCGCAGAAGCATTTTGTAGGAACCCTGTGCCCCCGGGCGGGCATGTTAGGCCGTGGCGGCCGCTTGCCCTGCTGCGGGGGACAAATCACCGGCCTCTAACGTGGGCTCCTGGGCTCGGGAAGAGTCTAGCAGGGGGGACAAACTGCTTCTGGGAGCCTGGCCCCCGGGAGTGACGGCCACCCTTGCTCTGTGTCCCTTGCACCTCTCAGGCTTCGGTCCCGCCCACCCCAGGAGGCAGGGCCCGTCTGGTGCCCCGCGGACGCCCATCCTGCCTCCCCCAGCCCAGGCAGGAGCCCCACTCTCAGGCGCTGCTGGGTGACAGGCTGGGCGGGTGCCGGGGAGGATGTGAAAGTGTCACGCCCAAAACAGAAAGCCAAACACACCAGAACGCTGTCCTGGGCCCCAGAGTCTCCGGCCCCCGTGTGGCCTCCGTGGGCCCCGGTCCCTGGGGCTCTGGCAGCCTCCATCCCCACTGCCCTCTCCCAGAGCTTCTCAGCAGACGTCCAAGACGCCCGAGACCACTGGAGGAGGAGGACGTGGAGCTAGACACCTGGTCCTCTCCCACCTTATTGTCAACAGAGTATTCGAGATGAAGTGTCCCGTGTGAATCAGTCAGTGCCAGGGCACGCGCCTGTAAGCCCAGACTCAGGAGGCTGAGGCAGGAGGATGGGGAGTTCAAAGCCTCACTCAGCAAAAGTGAGGCCCGGAGGAACTTAGTGAGGCCCTGTCTCAAAATAAAACATAAAAAGGGCTGGGGGTGAGGTTCAGTGGTTAAGCGCCCCTGGGTTCAATCTCTGCTACCAAAACCCAGTTCTCTGACACTGGTCTGGAGCCGCCAGGCAGTGGGCAGAATGTGCTGTCTGTGGAGAAACTAATGTCCCAGAACAGCTGTATCTCTTGCAGGGGGTGATCTACACGTGGAGTCGGGAACACAGATACACCGTCAGGCCTTCCAGCAACTCTCTGGAGACAAGTAGCAGCCAAGCCACCGTGTGGAGGTCACTGTTCTGATTTTTTGGCAGAGGAGTCCTCTGTCGGCAGGGAGTGTGTTCCAAGAACCCAAGCAAGTGCCCAAAGCCCCAGACGGTGCCAAACCCTGTACCTGCCAAGCTCCGCCCGCATGCCCCCAGCACTGCCACAGAGTCCTCTGTCCCTTCCTGTCCTAGGGCTCCTGCTGAGTAAGACAAGGGTTAGCCGAACACAGACACCCATCAGGGAGGCGGCCCAGGGATCAGGGCGAGGTTGTGATGCAGGCCGACTGCTGGGCTGAAACGCAGGATCCACGCCCGGGCAGGATGGCACATGCTTCCATCAGGCTACTCCGAGTGGCTTGATTTAAAACCTATGCACGGCTGATTTCTAGAATTTTCTACCTGGTATTTTCAGGCCACAGCTGACCAAGGGTAGTTGAAACCTTGGGAAGGAGAAGTGGGACTGCTGTGCTCCCACGGCCGGCAGCTCAGACCTGACGCCAAACGTCTAGACGGAGGAGCCCTGGGTCTGAGGACAGACCAGGCAACACTGGAGTGGGGATCTGTGCTCGGCGCCTTCCAGTCCTCCGCTTCTCTGGCTGGGCCCATCCCACGGGTCCCACGCCCACGCTTTATGCCACCTTGAAGTGGCAGGCATGACTTCTGCCCCACTAGTCCCAGTTCTGATTCTCCATCCATGACCACTTCCTGTCACCTGTCTCCATATAGAAAGAGCCTGACACACTCATATAGAAAGGGCCAGACACGGGTAAGAACTGGCTGGCTTTCCCTCTCCCATTCGAATCTTCTTCAGAGCAACACCCCAAATCAGGCGCCCGGAATGGAAATCAGGCACCTGGAGCTGAAATCAGGCACCGGGAATTGGGTTCCCAGCAGAGCCACTTTCTAGCTAAAAGACCTCTCTGAACCTCAGTTTCTTCTTCTGTTTTGTTGTTGTTTGGTTGGTTGGTTTGGGGTTTTTATTTTGGTGCTGGGGATTGAACCCAGAGCCTCACACGTGCGCACTCCTGCCACAGGCCCCGCCCCTAGTCCCAGGAATTACTTTTTTGGTAGGGGAGATAACTTGGGGTTTGAACTCAGGGGCACCCGACCACTGAGCCACATCCCCAGCCCTATTTTGTATTTTATTTAGAGACAGGGTCTCACTGAGGTGCTTAGTGCCTTGTCATTGCTGAGGCTGGCTGTGAACTCTTGATCCTCCTGCCTCAGCCTCCCGAGCCACTGGGATTACAGACATGTGCCACCGCCCCTGGCTCCGGGAATTACGTTTTACTGATAAAATTTTGCAATCCCTCAGCTGGGCACAGTGGTGCAGGTTTGTAATCCCAGAGACTCAGGAGGCTGAGGAAAGAGGATCACAAGTTCAAGGCCAGCCTCAGCAATTTAGCAAGAGCCTGTCTCAAAGTAAAAGTTTTGTTTGTTTGTTTGTTTGTTTGTTTGTTTGTTTTTAATTTATTTATTAGAATCGGCCAGTTCTGCCTTCCTGTGCGAGCTCACCTCGGCTTGGGGACCCGGGTGAGAAGGAGCACACACCCAGCCCAGCCCAGGCTACTTACAGCTTCTTCACCAGCAGCACAGCCCTGGTGGTGGGGGACGGGGGGTTCCGAGGACTCCACTCGCAGACCACGCTGCTGAGGAGGCTCCTTCGTGAGCAGGAAAGCCGGGGCTCCTCGGGAGGAACTGGAAGGAGAGAACAGCAGGTTGAGGAGCCGCAGGGCTTCCCCTGAGACGCCTGACCTCACAGGTGTGCACAGCCTCCCTGCTGAGGGGATTGGCCACTCTGCAGCTAAAACTCAGACTCACACAGATATTCCAATGGATGACAAGTATTTTTTTTTTGGGGGGGGGGCTGGGGCAGTACTAGGGATTGAATTGAGGGGTGCTTTATCAGTGAGCTACATCTCCAGCTCTTTTTATTTTGAGACAGAGTCTCTCTGAGTTTCTGAGGCAGGCCTCAACGCTGCAATCCTCCTGCCTCAGCCTCCCAAACCACTGGGATTCCAGGTGTGCACCACCCTGCCTAGCTGAGGCTATAAAATTAAAATATGAAAGTCCTGTTTGTCAAACTGGATAAAGGATCCTAGGCAAGGGAAGGGAGACGCCACCTTTGAACCTTCTGTCCAAATTAAAAAAAAAAAATAGGGATTTTGGAATCACGAAGACCTGGTTGTGGGTAAGTCCCAGCCTCTCTTCAGTTTCCTTACCTGTAAGATGACCTGATGATAATAATAATGGTGATAAATGCCGCCCTCCTTCCCAGGGTTGGTGGGAGGACTACTTGAGAAACAAGGAAGGCCCTAGCACAGGGCCCTAGCACAGGGCACTGGCTGGGTGAAGTCTTCATCTGGATGTGAAAAGGAGGCTTTGGGTTTTGCTTTCTTGGTGCTGGGGATTGAACCCAAAGGCGCTTACCCACGGAGCCACACCCCCAGCCTTTTAATTTATTTAGAGACAGGGTCTGGCTAAGTTGCTTTAAGGTATCACTAAGTTGCTGAGGCTGACTTTGACCTCGTGATCCTCCTGCCTCAGCCTCCCGAGCAGCTTGGGTTACAGGCAGCACCACCGCGCCCAGCGGAAGGAGCTAATTCTGAAAGTCAGGAGAGCTGCTTTGTGAGAGCAGTCAGCGTCTGCGGGAGTGTTCTTGCTTCATCTTTTTCTTTCTTTTTTCTTTTGGTGCTGGGATTGAACCCGGCACTCTGCCCCGAGATACATCCCCTACTCTTTTTGTGATCTATTTGGAGACGGGGTTTCCATAGTTGCCCAGGCTGGCCTCCAACTTGCTGTCCTCCCGAGTTACCTTACAGGTGTCGGCCACAACCCAACACTCCATTTCACCTTTGAAACACTCTAAGGTCAGAAAATTTACTTGATTTTGCCAGAGAAATCTGAGGAGCCGAAGTCAAGCTGTACGTGAAGGAGGAAGACTCGAATCCAGGCTGTCTGGCTCTGGGCCCCACGCTGGCAAGAGTCCACTGGCAGGACAGACAGACAGTGCTCTCCACCAGCCAGATGCCTCCTCAGCGGGAACTTCCTCCAGTGGCACCGAGAGACATCAGGGAGCCCTTCCCTGCTAAGAGCCACAGCCAAGTAGTATGATGCATGGCATTTTTGGTTGAAAGGTGACGCCAGCAAGCCATTGAGATGATATGATTACGTTAAGATCTGCGTTCATATGGATATTGGACCCCTGCTGTCCACCTCGGCCTGCTACGGGACTCCTGGAGAGTTCCCATTGGTTGGGGAAGTGCGGTAGGAGGGAATTCCGGAGGAGGGACTTCCTGTGGGGGTCTGGGAGAACGCCACGTGGGTCCGTGGGCAATCTTCCCGGGAGCATACGGGGCATTGGCCGCAGTTTCAAAAATAAAGTTTGTTCCTGCTTGAGTGGCTCGTGATTTTGTGCCCAGCCAGACCGCGGCACTTCCCCAGAATTCTTGGGCCAAGGAAATAACAGGAGTTTAAAGGACCAAGCAAGGAGTCTTCCTAGAAGGCGCAGAGCCGGGCTATCAAGAGCCCCGAGGACACTCACCGTCCACCAGCAACTGCACAGTCCCAGCCGGGTGGCCGTCCAGGGAGCACGAGTAGTTCCCAGAGTCGTGGAAGCGCACCGACCTCAGAAGCAGCCTCCTTCCTACACTGGCCCAGCTCCTGTGCTGTGAGCCAGTGAGCACCCACTGGACGGTGGCGTTGGCCCCCAGGTCCTCCCCGGGGCAGGTCAGGGTGACGCTGGCCCCTGGCAGGCTCCTCAGCACGTCACCGGCCGTCTCTGGGGGAGGGAGAACACTCAGTGAGCCACAGCACCCTGAAACGGGACTGCTTCGTGGCCTAGGGAAGCCACAGAGGCTTCAGTACTGACCAACTCTGGAATCTGTCACCGTCCAGGACACCTCTGCCCGGATAAGGACACTGGCCACCCCCCCGCTGCCAGAGTGAGCCTTCTCAAGCCACAATCTAGCCATCCCACTCCCCTGGTAAAACAAACACACAAACAAACAAACACAACACAACACCACACAGCACAGCCCTTCAAGGGGCCAGGGGCGGTGGCCCACTCCTGTCATCCCAGGGGCTCAGGAGGCTGAGGCAGGAGGATCACGAGTTCAAAGCCAGCCTCAGCAACCTAACGAGGCCCTGAGCAACTCAGCGAGACCCTGTCTCTAAAGAAAATATTAAAAGGGCTGGGGATGTGGCTCAGTGGTTAAGCTCCCTTGGGTCCACTCCCTCATACCAAAAAAAAAAGATGGAGAAGGAGGAGAAAGAAAGAGAAAAGGAGACCCTTCAAGGGCTACACTGTCCCCAAGACAGTGCTCTTCTCACACTGGCTCCTCCCCTGCCCCATCCCCATGACAAAGTCCCCTATTTCTGATCTCAGCATTAAGTACCCCTTACCCCAAAGCCCTCCCTGTCCCTCTCGCTAGATTAGGCCTCTCCACCGCGTCACCTATCCCAACTGCCGTGCAACTACCCATTCCCAGTCTGTCTCCCCCAAGACTCCAAGCACCACAAGATGAGGCCCCTGTTGTGTTGTGTTGTTTGTTTGTGAAGGTCCTGACCCCGGGAGGCACGCTCTACCACGTAGCTACACCCCCAGCCCTTTTTACTTTTTATTTTCAGACAGAGTCTTGCTAAGTTACTAAGGCTGGCCTCGAACTTGCAATCTACCTTCCTCAGCCTCAGGGATTATAGGCGCGGGCCACCGAGCCTGGTGGGCGCTCTGTTATGGTCCAGCTCTGGGAACACTGCCTGCACACACAGAGCCCTTGAGTGAATGGATGAATACACCTAGGGATGAACGGCACCAGCAGGGCTCCCGGCACACACAGGTCTGAAGGAAGTCTCAAAATCACAGGGTCTTCAGGGTCTACTTTATAAATGGTAACTGAGGCCCAGGAGAATCAGGAGACTCGCCCGAGATCACCCGTAAGATAGAGGCACACCCAGGATGTGAACCAGGGGTCTGACGGTGTGTCCCACACTTCCTCTGGTCCCCGACACCTCTCTACTAAACATTTGTGGTGATGCTGTTTTTATTCTAGGGATCCAAGAAAAAGTTATTGGAAAGTCAAAAAGACAAAGTACATCACCCACCCCTTGAAAAATATTGTGTGTGCGACTACTCAAGAGAAAGGGGATTAAAGGTTAGCGGAACAAATACTTTTTTTCTAGTCCAGCTTTAGGACAGGTTATAGATTCACAGAATCTAAGATAAAAATTATCCCAGCCACCTTGCACTCAGTTATTAACCAATCAGTTAAATCAGTCCGACCAGCTGAGGAAATGGGGCGGGGACACAGCCGGTTCTCCTATTAAGCCCACCTGATCCTTAAACCAAGGGTAGAACTACGTGTTAGCAAACAGCGGCAATAAATCTGACCAGGGATGTCAGAAAGGCCAAACACCTGATGTCACCTCCCTGCCCATGCTCCTGGGTCTGGGGACAAGCACAAGTGTCTCTTTGATCTGTGAAACCTTTTTGCTGGGGAAGAGTTCGTCATCTCCTGCGTGGAGCCTGTCCTTCCTCCCAGCCCACCAGAGATGGCCCCCAGGAAAGAGGGCATAAGGACCCGTGACTCCCAGGGGGCTTCTAGCCCCAGGCCAAGGAGTCTGGCTGTCCCTATAAGACGCAGGCCATAGTCCAGGGACTAGGGACACAGGCATCCAGAGGCAGAGACAGCTTCTGCCTGGCGTCGGGCCCTGCCTAGCTGCACAAACGCCTTTCAACTTTCCTCTCAATTCACCACTTGGAGCCAAATTCCTCCGCCCTGGCACCCTCTTCTCCTCGGCTGGCAGGGAAAGGACAGATGGACAGCCAGGACAGGTGGCGGCCACTCACCCAAGGTTTTATCTCCCTACCACAAGAGCCCTGGCTGCTGGAAGAGAGAGCTAAGTGCACGTCACGGTGTAGCCGAGCAAGTTTGGGCGGGTTCCTGTGACCCCCTCTGGACTCCTCTTGCTCCACAGTGGGCAAGGGAGGCCCCCTCTCTCCGTCCTACATGCAACCAACATCCAGGAGCCCCCGGAAGCCAGGCATCAGCGAAGAGGACATGACTGGGTACCTTGCCCTTAGAGGATCCAATGGGAGCCTGAGGAAGGTGACAGCTTGCCACGTCCGGTCACGTACAGATTTCTATCTGTGACTGAATGAGGTTTAGAAGACCCACTGACCCTCCCTATCACTAGCCATCTTTTCACTTCCCTGTTTTCCATCAGATAAAGCAGCCGTAAGGATGAAACCTATCATGGACATCAAGTTCCTGCACAGATTATGCAGTTGAAGAAGCACCTCAAACTCATGATGGACGGAGACGCTATCAAAAAGGATGGTTTGCTGGGGGTGGCCCCACTGCAAGGCTAGCAACAACCCTCCATCAGCTGGAAAGTGGATATCCACAGTCACAGACAGCCTAGGAGCGCCAACACACAATGAGCACCGTTTGTATACAGTTTGCCTAAAAGTCCAAGGAAGGAGTCACGCACAGCCTGACTGGTGCACATCTGTAATCCCAGCAGCTCAGGAGGCTGAGGCAGGAGGATCTCGAGTTCAAAGCCAGCCTCAGGAACTTAGCGAGACCCTGCCTCTAAACACAATATTTTTTAAAAAGCTGGGGATGTGGCTCCATGGTTCAGCACTCCTGGGTTCCATCCCCAGGACCAAAAAAAAAGAAAGAACCATGGATAGCTCATCCTTTCACGGACACTTTTCTCAGGGCGCTGCTCTGAATCACAGAAGGATCTTCAGCCAACCTCACACTGGGGAATACAGTGATGGGCCCACAGGACTTTTTTTTTTTTTTGGTACCAGGGATTGAACCCAGGGGTGCTTAACCACTGAGCCACATCCTCACCCTTTTTATATTTTATTTAGAGACAGGGTCTCGCTGAGTTGCTGAGGCTGGCTTTGAACTCTTGATCCTCCTGCCTCAGCCTCCCGAGCCGCTGGGATTCCAGGCGTGGGCCAATGTGCGGGTCAGACCCTTGGACGGTACCCCGAGACGTCACAGCGGGCACAGGTGTTTCTGGTGGTGCCCGGGTGACGTTGGTGTGAGGCCCTAACGGGGTCCATCCTATCCCACCTTGCCCAGGGGCTGGGAGCTCAGGATGGCAGCCTCCCTGGCACCCCCAGGCCCGGCCTCCACCCCGGCACCGGGGGTAAAAGAGGGTCCAGCCCGTTCAGGAAGCTGCGAGGCAGCGGGAGGGGGCCACAGAAGGAACCTGTCCCACCTTCACCTGTGGCCGGAGGATGCGTCCCACCGGCAGCTGGCGCCCTGTGCGCCTCGGGCGGGCGAGGCAGGGGTCAGCAAGGAGCCACCCGCTGCTGGTGCACATACGCGCCGCCTCCCACGAGAGGCCCCAGGTGGGGAAGGTGCACCTCCCGGCCACCACCGTCCTGCCAGAACCGGTGGGCAGCATGTTTACAGACAGTCAGCCCGAGGGAGATCAAGCCAGAGATGACTGACCAGTACCCGGTGACTGAACACCATATTCAAGCTCACGAAGCATGGACTCTGGGCCTCAGGACCAGCGGCTCATCCTGCTTCATCACCCTCAAGTAGCCAGTTTAGCCTGTGTGTGTGTGTGTGTGTGTGTGTGTGTGACATACAATTATGTACAGTAAATGATACTTAATAATGATAATTAATGTTAGGTGTGGTGATGCCCGCCTCTAATCCCAGCTTCAGGAGGCTGAGGCAGGAGGATAGCCATTGGAGGCCAGTGGATAGCCACTGGAGGCCAGCAACCCAGTGAGACCCTGATTTAAAAAACAAACAAACAACAACAACAAAACTAGGGGCTGAGAATGTAACTCAAGAGTAAAACACCCCTGGGGGGCTGGGGTTGTGGCTCAGTGGTCATGCGCTTGCCTAGCATGTGTGAGACACTGGGTTCGATCCTCAGCACTGCATATAAATAAATGAATAAAATCAAGGTCCACCAACATCTAAAAAAACCCTGGGCTTAATCTCCAGTATCACAAAACATAAATAAATAAATAAGCAAACAACAACTGTGTCTCTGGTCTACGTATTTACTAAACGATACATTTTTCTAGTTATTGTAGAGTGTACTCCTGCTTGTTAAACAGAACCTACTGCAGAGCAACAGTGTGACCCCCACGCAGCCTCTCAGTCTGTTTACTGTACCCCTCGATGGTATCAAGAGGCCACATCAAATGCTTGACTTACACCCCGCAGGTCTGTGTAACTCTAGAAAGTTCACACGACAAGATCACCTGAAGACACATTTCTCGGAATGTGTCCCCATCATTAAGTGATGTGGGACTGTATACACAGGTCCCCACCCCCCCCCACCCCCGTGACCACAAGCCTGTAAATTCCACCTGGCTGCACATCAGAGAACTCAGTGGGTGCTTAATAAGTGTTTGTTTCACACAGGGTACCTAAGAGGTGCCCACAGGGACAGGGTCTTCACGCTAGCAAGTCCCAGAGGCACGGTTCCCTAGTGGCCGGGTGGCGCCTCTTGGGCTGTGCAGTGGACGGCCCCCCGCGGGAGACCAGAGAAGTGAGCTTCTCACAAGCAGCAGACGCGGAGGCAGGAAAATGAACCTAGAGGCCAAAGGAGACCCTTTCTGCGTGTGCCTTTGCCGGTTCCAGGAAAGACGTCCCTGGTCACTTCCCAAGCCCAGCTCAGATGGCAGCTCTTGCCTGTTGAGTGGGACTTCTCAACAATGGCAGGAGCTGTTCTGTCCTCAGCTTGCTAACAAGGGCCAAAGCATTTGAGCAGCTCGGAGAAACACCAAATAAAAAG